AATGATAGAGATATACATATTGCTTTCTCAATCTTCCTCGATTAATTTCTCATTCTAGTGATACAATAAAAAGGAAAAAATTGCATCAAAATAGGCAAAATTCAGAAGTCACCAAAATGTACATTTACTAGAAACTCTTTTATTATTTCATTAACTCAAAAACAAAGGTAAAATTTTTTTGAAATTCTTCTTAAAAAATTTCATATCGATCGGTCACTGGTGCTTTTCAGAACAATATTCCGAACAAGATTCCACAAGTTATGTATAATTCGTTATAGAATATCTCACTGTATATCTATAACGGACGTCACGGCGCAACGTATAGTTTCAACGCTAGCACTTCTCCAGCCTAAGACGTACACATTTGTTATTAATCTTATTACACATGTTACTTTATTTAGTGATAACGACGTTCGATGTAAATTCGACGTAAATTTGTCACCACTATTTGTTAAGGTAACGTCCAGATTTGTTACTATATTTGTGTTACCATTCGCTGTGCCAGTAAGAAATATGATAAGAATATGTAGTCTGTCCTTTGTTATTATATATCGTGATTCATTACTTGATTCGATAATTATTTAGAAAGCGGATGTCATCACCGGTTTCAATGATTTTTAAACATGTTGCAAAAATCAACATTTTGAACAACCTCCTTCCCTTTGCATGTAACCGAATTCTCTTAATTCTCGAAATATTTACAAAAATAAAACTGCTGCTTTCTAAATATGTAATTATCTTTGATTTGACTATTTCGATAAATAATGACATAGTGGTCCATTTTGGAGGAAATATTTAACGCACTATCTTTCGAACGAATTTGGATATCAGTAAACAAATTTAGAAACAGATTCTGCATCATAAATGCATAAATATGTATACAGTAACAAATGTGAACGCATCTTTAAACAAATTTAGAAATAAGTCCTGTATCGAACTTCATTACCATTAAATATCTACATATGTATGTAAGTAACGTAAATAGCAGTATATATATATATATATAAATGTGGACGAATTTTTACTGATACCTGATACTCAGACTCATAACTCTTTACTGTTATTTTATTATGTTCTAGTTGAATAAATGATAAAAAATCTCGGTACGTGAAGATAACTAAGCTTCTTTAAGAAATAAAACGTTACTTCTAAAGCGGGTACTCATAAAGCGGGTTATTTTTTTCTGGATTTATTGGAACAATCGAATTAAGTATGTAAGTAACTTCACACTGGATGAATAAAAATAGCTCGCAAATAGTTCGCTAGCAAAATCATATTACAGATACGTACGTTTTTCATGTACTACCTTTCAGGGAAAAATTGTTCGCTATTCGTTGTTTCAAGTATCCACAGCGAATATGGCTCGTGAACTGTTTGCGAACTGTAGTATGGATTCAATATAATGAATTACGAGATGTAGTAATAGGGCACACCATCTACATTTCTTATCATGACATATTGGGTAACCGTAGTATAACGAAACAAGATATGATAATAAATGTATGCGCATCCTCTGTCGCATGAACGCTACGCAGTGTTGTCACCAATGCTGTGAACGTTAAAAAAAGAATTCTTAAGCTAACTACTGAGACAACAGGATGCATCACGAAATAGCCCCACATTATTTTAGACACTTCCAATGATTTGGCAAAAAAAGTCTCAAACAAAAGTTAAATAATTTTCAGTCGGCTACACAAAATTTCTAAAAATTTATTTTTTCATTAAAAAGTCAAGGTTATTTTATATTTCACACTATATGTTATATATCACGTTATACTTTTTGAATTCACAATGTTGAATTCACAATGTTAATATCAAGATGGCCTACTATATCATGTTCTTCTTATGACCTTGAATTCAGGAATCACGAATTGTTTGACGTGTAATGACAATAATATGTGTTGCAAAACGTGGAAACCATTTCGAATATTTACTCTCATAATTATGTAAGTAAATAAATTATGTTGTAAATAAAATTTAATTTTCACTTGTGTTATCACGTATTTTTCATTTTTCTTTTCTCTGATTAAGATACAAGGATGTTATGTTCTATGTACAGTGCTGTTTTTAGAATAGAAAACTGAATTTTTGTTATACAGGGTATCCCGTTTGAAAAGTCCCACGCAATTATCTCCTAAAGCCAAACTATTAGATATAGATAAAAATGTTTCAAGTACAACTTACTTTGTTTCAAGAAGTACCTTATAATGATCATAAATCTTGGTCTAGGTAGATATGCTTCCGAGATTTTTAAGATGACCTTGGATTTTTAAACGAAACAATGTATTTTTCTTCAAATGAACATATAGCCTATTCCATGATTTATCATATGTAAAACATTCTGAAACATGGGAGATAGAGTAAATCAGTGCATTGACATTCAAGATCACTATTTCAATACGAAAAACAAAACAATAATTTTTTAGTAATTCAACGCGGATAACTTTTGAAAGGCAGTAAATGACCTCGAGTACAACATATAATAGGTTGACGAATTTCTCTGATGGAATGGGAACTTGAATTCTCGAAAAATGTCCTCCTCGAAACAAAATAAGTTTTACTTGAAACATTTTTTTCTATAACGAATAGTTTAAAGTTCAAGAGATAATTACGTAAGACATCCTGTGTGTAGTTACTCTATTTCAATACTTCAGTTTCAAATGAATCTAAATTAACTTAAATTTTCAAATTTCAGTTTCACTTTTTGAAAATCTTTTTGTTGAGTTTAGCATTTTCTGCTAATATGTTATAAATTTTATTGAAAAAAGATTTTTTTTATCTGCTGTTTCCGAATTCTTAAAAAATCAAACTTTGAACAGTGAGTTCACGCACTTTAAATTTTAATTATTAAAAGAATATTTACGTATCTATTATTTTCTGCTCATCAAACCTGCAATGTTTCATCTAAATCCGTTTACAATCTTTCGAGAATTGATATTTTTTGTTAACTACGTATTCTATTGCATGTACATACATGTTCCTTTATTTTGGATATGTGCATTCATGTGAAAGAATTCTAACCCATCGCACCATTCTATAGTGTAGATTCCTATAGTGTAAATGTATATATATTCGTGAAAACACGGAGCTACAGTTAATCAAACAAAAATTTTGCTAGTTAACTCAGCATTTAGTTATCATTATAGTACAAGTGGGATCAGAGAGATTGTATAGCATAAAACAAGAAGAAAGTTAAGAATGAATGCGCAAAAATTGCGTTAGATGCTTTGTTTCTAAGAAAAACATATTTGAAAATCAATTGTATTCTCATACACTTAATTAATCATTAGCACTATGGATTTCGCTACTGCTACTGGCTTCTTTTGTATACAATATCAAGTTTATTTACGATGTATGTTTATATTTAAAACAAAGAATTATCGCAGTTTTTGAAGAAATAAAAATGTAAGCTACGCTGCAACAGCAAAATTTGATTCAGAGAATACAATTTTGCACACAATAAAGCGGTCAACATTTTGAATAATAGGTAATTTAAAAATTGTAAAAAACCTATTAAAAACTACCAAACAATCTAAGTACAATTAAAGCCATAATATCCACTTTATTATCATTATTGACTATATTTAACTTATTTTCTATGCATCATAATAAGTAAATATTAATAGTAAGTTAGTTCTAATATGCACAATAGTGGTTTATGGTGAATTTGTAATGTCAATTTTTAGTTAGTTAATGCACGCAAATGTATTTTTCTCAAGAACTCCTTAACGTAATTTCATCATTCTTGATTTTCACCTTGTTTTGAACTATACAATTACCTTGACTCTATTTGTATTGTGTAGGATCTATCTGTATGATTTATTACTAAAAATGTAGAGTTTTGAAAAAACTAAAAGACTAATCCTCATAAGCAATGAGTTAAACATATCTTCCATATTAAGCGAATGAAAACAATGAAAATTTATTTTGCCTGATGAATGAAAACGTCAAAATTTATTTTGCCTGTTACTCTTCAGAAATAAATAAGTATATGTAGATGATAAGCGCAAATACAGGTATACTAAATGAGTATATTCCAACTCATTGTCATCAGAACTCGATATCAACTTTGTATTGGAACATAAATATCGATTCGCACTGTTGAATTTAAGTCAACTAGCAAATATAACAATTTATATAATTAATATTTATATAATAATACGATATATATAGAACTGTTGTGTTGTAAAACTGAGTCTTGAGCCTCGAGATTCGAAAGCCGCGGTGTTCAAGTCTTAAGGGTCTAGAATTTTCTGTGTTTGAACCTAGAGCTATAAAAAGTTTAAGTCTTCAATGCTCGAACTCTTAAATTCGGAACTACATACATTCTAGATTGTATATACATCAATGTGTATACAATTATCAAATTGTAAACAGTATCAGAGACTAAGAAATGCCGACAATATTATTTATTTTAACCTTAAGAACGTTGAGATCCGTATGACGTTAAGAAAGCTCCGTATGACAATAGTTCTAAAAACTCAGCCTTTTAAAATTGAGCCTTGAAGCTTCAATGATTTTATGTAACATTATGTAGAACAAATAAATATAGAATACAGTAAACTTGTCGGAGGACAAATAATTTATATAATTGGAGTTCATAAGAATTCATAAATTCTTCACGAATTCACTTTATTAGTGATTTTTCGTTTATATAATAGGAGTTCAAGTTTAAAAGAAGTGGATTTAGCCAGCAAGAGTTCATTTAATCAAACCTTGATTGGAATTTGACTTAAATAGAGTTCGTATAACCGGAGTTTTACTGGTTTATTATTTAATATTTCATTTCATTTAAATATTTAAATAATACTAACTATTAAATCTTTAATTATTAATATTAATATTTTACTTAAATGTTGAAAAGATAATATAATAACTGCGCTCTCTCTCTCTCTCTCTCTCTCTTCTTTTCTCTATGTGTGCGCATGTATAATACATAAAGATATGCAGAAAAGAGGTCAACACGAGTTGTACAGATGCATGCAAAAGTTTATATTTACTGTCGTGTGGCAAAGTAGCGGCCATTTCCCGTTGGCGTACGTAAAGAAGACCCATTGGACCCACTAATTTTGCTGGCATCGAATGAAGTTGTGCTGCAGTTTCACGATATACTGGATGAGCTGCATACAGAGATCTGCTATCCGTTGGAATGTCCTCTTGTAGGACTCCGTTTACCACAAGCACCATTCTGTGCATTAAACCATTTAAATTTTGTTAAAAATTGAAATCACAGTAGTAAATAGTAGACATATCATACATAATTGTATTATATCGTAAAAATTAATCGTAAAAAATAATATCATGCCAAAATATTTTGTAACTCGTCATATACTGCTCACAAAAATTGGGGGATATTTCAAAATGAATATGAAGCAATAAAGAAAGAAGCATTTGATTTTTTTTTCTTTTTTTTATTAAATAACTTTCTTTGACTTGTCATTTGCTTTTCTGATGTTCTTGATGTTCTTTAAAGAAAAAAATCAAATGCTTTCTTTTTTTTATCGCTTCATATTCATTTTGAAATATCTCCTAATTTTTGTGAACAGTATATATTAAAGGGCGATACACAGCTATTTATATAACACAATGAAACATATAAAGCTATTGCTTTCTTTATCAATATTCTCATGAAAGAAAAAAATGGAATGTAAATTTTTAGTTATAATTTTGAACAATAGATTAAAAATAAATATTGAAATAAGAATTAACATAAAATATTTTTAATAGCATATTTTCTCGTTCTAATATTACGTCAAAACTGGTTGTGAGATTGAAAGATCGAAGATCAGCGGCAAACATTGTTGGCATTCGGACTCTGTCGTTTGTGTTAATCGTGTTAACGATAAAAACTCGGAACAATCGTGCCAACTAACCAACCAGTCAATCAACCAACTAGCCAGCCTTCCTCTTAACTTACTCGAAAGGTTAAGGTCATTCGCCTTGAATGACATTCCACGTTTAACCTTTCGTTTGTTTAACGAGATTATTAACAAACCGAGAAATGAAACTGGCGTAAGTTTTCTTGAGATTCACTTTGCTTGTCCTCCCCTAAAATGATTTTCTATCAATACTTTTACTTGCTTCCAAGTAAGAATGTAAAGGTGGAAAATGAAGAAGAAAATATTAACTTGTGTATACGCATTTCGAAACATACTAATAAAAAGATATTTTATACAATGAAACGTTTTGATTTGGTTGGTTTGTATTGACAACTGTTACTATTTAAATTTTCATTATATTTTAATTATAATTTCATGAAGTTTTCGAAAGGAAAATTTAAAAAATTTTAACAAATTATAACAAAAACATCAGAGAAAAGACAGCTTAACATGACAAATATTTTACTTTAATCTTTTTTGTTTTTTGTTTCTTTTTTTTTACAAAGCTCACCTTCTGGAAATAATTATAAAATATTTTTAATCCTTACTTTCCTTGATATGATGATTCTCAAGAAGCAATTTAAAAGATAAAAATCCTTAATGTCTCTTTGTTAATTAATTAGTCCTTAATTTTACAAAATCTTCACGTAATCGGATAATTTACACTGATAGACGAACTTATTGAAATTATATACACGTTTCCATCGATGATATTCAAAGTAACACAGAAGGTAAAACATCGAACAGAAGTTTGATTCAAATTTTACAACTGAAATGAGTAGATAGTAAATGTGCTAATTAATATTTCGCAAAATTGACTGGTAGTCTCGCATGCATGCGAGCAATTTGTAAAACAACACAGATACACAAAATCGAAGGAGAGTGTTCAATTATAGTATATGATGCACAACGTTTATAACAGAAAAATCAATCATAATTCGATCACAAAAGAACATTTGGAAGAATATTGATCTTAAATCAAATACACGGCTACGACTAAACATTCACAGCAACGTTTCATTCAATCGTCGTCTCAGTTAAGCTGAATTCATTAACAAATCGTACTAATTATGGCTTCTATTATCGGTTAAAATGCCGATTGGTTGATCGACGTGATCCATACGCGGGTAGTGGGATGGGTTAAAATCCAGTCAGGACCAATCGAAGCGGATGGTACCGATCAGATATCGAGTCGCTGCGCCGCCGCCGACACCATCATCATCATCATCGCTGCCGCCGCCGCCGCCGCCGTCGCCACCACCACTACTGCCACCACCACCGCTACCACTACCACCACTACTACCATGAATAAGAAAATAACATGTTTGCTTCGCTTCTATTCTTCTTTTTTTTCATCATCTCTTTCTCACAAAGAGTCTTAAATCAAAATTTTTGCAAGGCAATTTCTTCCTTTTTGCTTATTTGTTTATTGTAAATGATAAGTACATTTAGAGATGCTTCGAATTTGACCATCACCAGATCAATGGTAATATACATCTAATTCAACGCATATATTTTTATTAAAATTCGTTGGAATGCTACATCAGTTTATATCTCATACTCTTGTTTGACTTAAAAAGTACACTTACTTGTATACTTAAAAAATAACAGATAAAGAAACACTTTAAAGCTGAAATTTGAATTGTTGATTTTGAAAAATTCAATTATGCAAATATGGAATTTTCCATATATTTTTTTTCAATTACTTATCTAGAGTTAAAGAAATTATAGAGAAAGATATAAGAATCGTAAAGAAAAGATAAACATCAGAATAAGGATGCAGTCAAATTGCGCATGATTATATAAACTGTATTTTAATGACTTTTATCTTGATCAGTCTACATATTCATGCTCTTTGATATTCCTAAGTTTCACATCAAATTTTTCCTTTCCTAAAACAGTTTTGAACAACTATCATATAGTAGATCTAAATTATATAGTAGAATTAAATTAAACTTGGACTAAAGTTGGAAGAAAGAATGTCTACTTTTTCTTTTGTTCTAAATCTTACATTCGGCATGATAGTGTATATGATACAATATATTAATTGTATATTTTCATGTTAAAATGAAGGAATTAAAAATTGAGTTTTTAGTAATATATAACATATAATTTGTAACATAATAATATAATATATAAATAATTTTTAGTATAATTAAAAATAGTCAAAGTATAATTTATATTATAATTTTTTTATTATTTTATAAATATAACGTATACCTACATGCTTATGTAAATTGGCAATATTTTTGATTCTATAGGGGACATATTTCATTATAATAAATAATGAAGTTTGTTGACTCGGTTTCATTAGGTGTACTAATAAATTTTAAAGCGTTTCTTCGAAAATTCAAGTTTTATTTGTGAAAAAATAAAACTGCATTTAATAATTAAAATATCCTCAACTACTTTAGTTGTTGCCATCTGTCAGACAGTTTACGAATTCCAATATTGAAAAAAAGCGATGAAATCATACTCTTCTCTGCTTCTTCAAATGTTTTAAAACGTGCATCAGACAAAGCACTTTGCATTGATCGAAACAAATGATAATCAAAAGGGACTATATCTGAACTAGACGCCGGATCCTCCAAAACTTTTCAACCAAGCGTCCATAATCGTTTCTTTGATCGACATAGCAACGTGAGATCTAGCGTTGCCATGAAAAATGCAATTTTATACGTAATCCTTTGCCATTATGAACGTTTACGACCGATTTCTATCGCATTCTATTGTTATTTGTAGCGATCAACATTGAACAAAGCTTCCAGTTCATCAATTTTAATCTTTATAGACACCGTTACGTTTACAATCGCTAACAAAAATCACCATCTTTAAATCGTCTAAACCAAAACTCACACGTGCTTGTCTCCAAGTATAGAACGAAAATCGATTCATACGTTTTTGTAGCAGTTTTTTCGCTATAAACTCATATCAAATGCCAATGATGAATAAATTCTTTCTTGTTTGCCATTCTCAAACTGCTTAATTTTTATATAACTCATTTTTACAGTATTGCTAAATTAGTTGTCATATTTAATACTGAATCTGACAATTATCATAAAATGACAAAAGAGCGGAAAATGCTTGAATTTTAAATGATTATATGTTAGCCAAAAAACGTTTTAAAACTTAATAAACGATCCAAATCGTCCATCGAGATGAAATTTAGAAGATTTTATATATATATATATATATATATATATATATATATATATATATATATATAAAGAATTTCGTATATAAAATTTGAACTTTGAGAACTCTCCCATTCAAAGTATATAGATCTTGAAGTATAAGGCATTTTCTTGTAATTATATGTATATTAGATTTCAGATTTAGATAGTTGGAACAATAGTATTGATTTGGATTAGGTAAATTTTCGGCTAAGACCGAAATTGTTCTTATCTAACTTTCGTGTACATTATTATATTACGAATACACATACACTAGGTTTTGTATATAAAATAAATGTTAATATTAATTAACAATTAATAACAATTTCCCAATTTCATCTCGATCGGACCGAGATCATTCAAAACAATATCTATAATGACTAGTGTATATACATATACATATATATCGCAAAACATAAAAAAAAAGTTATACTTCTCAAAGTGTATACGTTTTTGGTTGTAGTAATAGTATTTTTTTTTCGTACTTTTTTCTACCGTCGGTAAATAAAATATGGATACAAGTATAATACTTATGAAAGCATGGTTAATGAAAAAATATAGATTGCAAATATCTACTCTTGCCTTCATGTTCATCAATCAGATAACTAGACAGATAAATAGAAGAATTAAACAAAAGAACAAATGTTATATTGTAACGGAAAAAGAGCAGTGAGAAAAAGGACTTAAGGGAAAATAATGAAAAGGTAAGAAAGAAAGAGAGAGAGGGAGAGAGGGAGAGAGAGAGAGGAGAGAGAGAAGGAATGAAAAGAAACATCTTGGTTGTTCGTGACCCCATAATCGGCGGAGAGGTAGATCGGTTGGTTGGTTGGTTGGTTGTTGGTTGGTTGTTGGTTAGCTGGCTGGCTAGCTGCCTGTACAGATCGAACCACACGGAAATCCACTTGAAAAGTAGCCATTAGCTTAATTATTGGCCTTTGGTAGAGAGACTGTGTGCATGTTTGCCAGAATACGATGCAACGTGTCCGACGGTTTTTCTGTCCAATACAATTGGTTAGGAATTCTTTTCCACGACATTTTGCTCAGAATCTATCATTAACTTCGCCAGCTAATTATAATAGTAGCAAAAAGAAACGAAAATGTTACATTGTTCGACGAAAGTGCAATGAAATGCCTATTATGAAAATAAAAGATAAGTATTTGTTAATAAACAAAATTAATATTTATAATGTAATTAAGGATGAAATAAAATTTGAATAACATTTGAATGAATGTTTGTGCGACAGTTCGATGAAAATTGACGAATGTGAGTCTCGATCAATCTTTTGATCAAAATTTTTTATACAATCTTTATTGTTTCCGAAAATATAATTTAGAAACGGCATACCAGAAACTTCTCGTTCTGTGTTCTTTTATTTTTCACCGATTACTTGCAGAACGCACGCTGACTATGTAGCTATACTCGCACCACGTATGTACACCTACGTATATACAGCCAATTATAATTGCACAGCTAGGATGCGGCTACGCAGTTATTTATTTAAGCGTACAAAGGGCTATTAACGAGTACCTTTCCTTGAATCACCTTCTCCGTGGAACTGGTATTCTAATGACCAATGATTTCACTGGGAACATTTACCCCAACTATCCCACTACATGACTTTGCTCGAGCGAAACGAATATTTTCAATCGAACGATTTTCTACTTGGCGTCCATTTTGTTCTGCTTTATTATTTCTAGAACCTTTGATTCTTTGGTTTAGTTCGATCCTTTGCAACGGATAATACGTCTGCTTTTTTTTATTTTAAAAAAAGCGTGTAATATTCAAAAATAATCACGTAATATTTAGAACGTATCAAGTATCGAGTGTAGGTATATATAATCGTGACAATTACCGTTATCATTGTTGTTGTCAAATGTAGAGATAGATCTTAGGTAAGCGAATATGAAATATAATATGGATGTCACAGTTGGTAGTAGATGAAAATTCGTGTTATTATTATGTTAACATTATTGCGTCATATAAAAATTGGCTGAATAGTTAAAACACGACAAATACGTTACAAGAATGTCCATTAATAATTATTCTCACCTAATTCGTATATTGTATGTACACAGTCTATATAATATATAATAGTAACAAAATATAGTATAAGTATAGTAGTATATGAAGTCTGGCGAGCAGGGACCGCGCAAAAGATCAATGGAAAATTTCACGGCGTTGCATCGGTTCGATTGCAAATGTCACGAGTAAAATGATAAATTATTATTACCAACATAGAATTGTTTACGCGAAATAAGGAAGAAGCAAAACGAGAAATCAAATAATGAAATCGAATTATTCCGCAATAACGAGACGAAAAAAAAAAAAAAAAAAAGGAATTGACATCATTTGGTAACGTGTTTTATCTTTGATGAAATTGACTTACGACTCATTGTCAGTTGTATTATAATGATAATTTGATGATTCAACTTTAAAAATTTCCTACTACATATTTCTAGCAATTCTAATTGAGATAAAAATTCGATAATTCTTTTCTGTTGCAACTTATATTATAAAGAATCAAATTAGTCCTTTATTTTAATTAATTTCAATTGTTATTTATAACAAATGCAAATGTAATTTTCATTTAATTACATGCTTGTCTAAATGCTTAATTGAATTTATTTCGAATTTCACGTGACTTACAGAATTTTAATTGCAGATAGCGTAAATAACGAAGTGTGAATAGTGATAAATAGTTATTGCAAATATCGTCTATTAAAAAAATATGAAATATCGTGACCAAATATGTAATAATAACTACTTGCTTCGATTTTATTGAAGACAATTCTTTTTCCTTTTTTCTCGGGGTCGCATGAATTATTAATTTCGTTAATAAATTCCAGCAATAGGTGATTTAGTACATAAATTATTTGAATCAATAGATAAAAAAGATAAACATAATATAAGAAAAGATTACCGCAATTATGTCTACGTGTATAGATTCTAATGCGATCACTCCAAATCAGCTATTACTATTAATCAGTATCATTTATTATCAACGATTTTCGTTATATCTAACAATAAGAATCTACAACACGTTCAACATACCATAATAAATAAATTTTTATTAATAAATATGTTTGTACGTTTGTCGATGAGTTTAAATCTTCGTTGAATTTTTAGTATGTACGTACATAATCTAAGATAGAAAATTTATCAAAAAGGTTATCGACGGAAACCGAGCAGAAGACATTCTAGCTTATCGATTTGTCCTTTTTTACAAACGTGATAGACGTAAATAATTTACGATTCAAAGCGACTTTACTTAAAGCATTCAGTTTTTTTCCTCTTTCTAGATTACAACTAAAAGAAATAAATGACTATATCGTTTCTCGATAAGATTAGTATACGACAAGAGCATTCGAATTATGTCAACAAAAAACCGAAAAATTTGGAAATATTCCAAAATAATACGACTACAGAGCCTAATAATACAACTAAACTATATCTGAACAAACATTCAAAACATTGAGGAACAGAGAATTTAGTTATTTGAATAAGAAGCAAATAAAATCATATACACAGTAAAGAAGAGATATAAGATTCTATAAATGATCATAAATTTCATCTCATCCTTGACTTTCTTTGTTAAATTGAAACAAGCTCAGAGTCAGAGAAATCGAATTGACTGAATTTTTATACTAGAACTTTTATACTAGAAAAAAAGTACAAGCATTGTAACTTGTTTCAGCAGAGAGAATTATTAAATTTATGATCTTCCAGTTGAAATAAAAGGCGATAACGCGTATAATAAGCATACTTAGATAACTACTAACACAAACTAAAAACATGTGTCTAAATATATAAAAACATTTGAAGCAAACCATAAATAATTAGCAGATCGATGTATTTTATAAGAACGGGTTACGAAACGTCGAAACCTCAAAGACTCTCGAAATTAAAAAAAATTTCGAATTTCGAGAAATTGAAACTTTGTACTTTTTTCGTGATTTGAAACTCTCGAAACTTACAACCAGATAAGAAAAAATATAAAGTCAATAAAAAAAGAATCACTTGTAGTGTAAATAAAAAATGTTCGATTCATGTATAATCAAATATTCGATGCGAGACATTTCGCAAACGTTTGGTGGTCGGTTTTTGTTTTTGGAAATATAAACAAATGTGTGATCGGATTCTGGAATGATAATGTAAATATCTAAATCTAAATAAGTAAATAAATAAATCTAGTACATATCTAAATTTAGGAAATTCTAAAAAAAGAAAAAAATTACATTAATCCTGAAAATCTTTCAGTATAGTATATATCTATATACAGCCGTTACTATGATCGACAAAAAAAGAAATAAATTAGCTCCAGAAAGAGCTTTGATGTTCTTGAATAAGAATCTGGATTACATATTTTTATATGCTATTTTTTATATTTTTGCTTATATTCTGTTTAACTGCGCCCAATAACAATTTATAAAAATCTGAAGATGTTAAATGTTAAATCTTAATTTTTGTTTTTTGAAACAAAAAATTATTCTTACAAAATAAAATCAACACTTCAAGTTTTGAGTTTCGAAATCTTACAAAGTTTCGAATTGAAGTTTCGAGAATTTAAAAATTAGTTTCGAATCCATTCCTATTATTTTAAATATACTCTGATATACTCAAATGGTTGCTGTTTTATCTCTAAAATCATGTTTTTTTCAAATAATGTCTTTCTTTATCAAAACACAGTTACTTTTAATAATTCAATGGATAAATACATATTCACAAATATAATATGTATATATATATATATATATTATTAATACATTATATATATTAATTTATAAACATTATTATGTTTGATATATGTATAATGAAGAAAAATTGCAATCAGAATATGATTTTTTCAGTTATTTCGATGGAAACAGAATCGATATGGTCTTTAAAATTATAATAGGAGGATTTTCCGGTACTTACTTTATAATTCTTTTAGTTTTTCTTCAAACTGATTGACACGTTCCTGCTGCCATTTTTGGAGACTATCCTGCTTATGATTTTATTTTTGCTTTTTCTCTGTTTCTCTGCAACATTAAAAAATACGCCAAAACATATTATAATCCACAATAAGTTTTAAAGGAAAATTAAAAACAATTTTTCAATTTATGATTCGAATATTCGCTTAATTTAAATATTTTTGTCATGCTCTTTCCAGATCAAAGTTCGTTAATATGTTTCAAAATACTTATAAAAATATATGCATTTACACATGTAGTTATTAATATGTATCTGAATAAAATTAAATTAGGAATAAAATTAAATTATTTTTAAATTAGGACACGTTTCCTTCTCGTTTCGCTTATTATATTTAGTTCTTATTGTAAAAGTTCTAACAATTAGAATAACTCATCGGTAAATTATAATATGACATGATCGACACAGACTTCCTCGACAATATTTACGATATCGACGCTATTTCACTGATTGTGAGATAAGTTTTCGTCGGCAATCCCTAGTCACTGACATTTTATTCTCACCGATTTCCATAAACATATTTTTCCTATCAACAAACTTTTATATATTATATATGTATTTTGACATATTTCGCACTATGCATATATGTTAGGTGATGAACCACTTGTTAATTCAAAATGTTTATTGATTGATGTTTATTATTGAGTTTTACGAAATCAACAAAAGAAAACGCATTATATTTTACTCAAATGTATATATTACTAACAATAAGTAACATGTATTACATATTCCTTTTATTTATAAAGAAACATTATATACTGTTATTTATAAAGAACCGTTATATTGTTTTTATAAAGTTTAAATGAGTAGACTCTCGACGATTACAAAATTGATGATTTATTCTCATCCTTTATACGATTCTTTCTTTTCTGTTTCTGGGAAAGCTGAAAAGTATTTTTTTTTTTAATGAAATTTTTTATAATTTTTTTTTTTTGTATATTCTTAATTAACTTAAATATTCCAACGACGACCAAGTAATGATTGCAATCGTTGATGACTCAATAAAATTTTGTGTTCTTGAAAAACCGTTTACAATATTGTTGTATATAAAACCACATTTCTGGTGAAAATCGTGAAGAACAAATCACAATTACAAATTGTATATTATTCCCAATTATTAGTCTATATATTGTACATAATATTTTTCAAATTTATTACAACAATAGCCTGAATGATATTTCATTTTAGAATGATTATTTTAGATTGTTAAAGCAATCTGCAATCTCAGAGGATTGTAAAAAAGCAGGGCACGTTGTTTAATTAACAGATTAAATTTTCCATCAGTTTCATACTTTTTTACTAAACTTATTGCTTTGCACTTTACGATATACAGATTTGTACAAATGAAAAAAAAACCTTCCTTTCACTGTTGTAGAAGGAAAAAGTTTAAACTAATTAAAGTTAAATACTAATTTGTCACTAATATTTCAAAATTCCCATTAATACAAATTTAGAATTTAAAGCGTAACCTATTCCATTACTCAAATTAATTGCTTTATCAAATAATAATTCATAAATTTTCTGCCGTTCAATAGGAGAGTTCACAAATTTAATGATAGTTTAATAATAGTTCATAAATTTTCTGCCGTTTAATAGGAGAGTAAAAAAGGAATTGACTTCATGTTTTCAGATTTCCTGTAATATCATGGATGGCATAAAAAATGGCATGTTTAAAAAATATGAGTATCATTTTGAATATTCTCCATCCATGACCCAAAATTTTACTTTAGCTAAATTCATTAAAATTTAAATAAATAATATTTAATTTTAATAATTTATAATGTAATAATAATTAATTTTAATATTTTGTATAAATAATATAAAAGATATTAATAATAATATAATAATATAATAAATAATCTTGCCTTTATAATATATATAAAAGATTTTCCTAAGAATCTAAGGATTCTTATACAACTTACCAGGTAAACTAGGCTCATAGAATGTTTGTGATTCAAATACTTATTTCTCTTTTGTACTTGCAATACATGTTATTAATATACTTGTGTTTGGAAAACGGACGAATTTCGTATTACATTCCTGATAGATGGCTTTCCATCCTTAATTATTTTATTACTGCAACTTTCTATAACACCACGCTTCAATGTTTCAAATGATTATGTTTAGAGTAATCATGATTGCGACTAATGTATTGATTATTTTTGTTTTATAATGTACTTGCAGCACTTTTATATTCACAAGAATTACCATTTTTCTCACATGTCTGATAGTATAAATCAATCTCTATTTCTAGATTTATTAAATATAAAGCTATTAATGTAAATTTTGAGTGGAGATGAGCAATTCGGCAATCTGAATGGAAGTATTTTGACATTGTGTTTAAATAATTTGATATAACATAGCGAACATTAATGTGAACTGATTCAGAAGTGATACTAGAGGCAACTGAATCCTGAATCATAACAACATAGACGTGAACAATGTGTCGATAAGAAAAGTATGTTTATGGAAATATAGAGTCGATGAGGATAGACTAGCATGAAAACCTTAGTGAAATAGCGTCGAGATAGTCTGTGTCGATCATATCATTCGGATTAAAGCTGTTACTTATGAAATACTCGGGTGCATGAGACAGTTGAGACTATATATCTATTATTTCTACTGATATTATTCGGATGTCTACAATGTAATTTATATTTTAGCGATAAATAATAAAACGAAGTAATTATTTTAAATTAGATGTCTTCGTATAAAAGTACTATATTTTCCAATATAGTAGGGCTCATCCGTTTTAAACTAACAATATTTCTAGTTATGGAAAATACTCTTTTAGAGCTGGCAGATAAATATTTTTTAACAAGTTTTATTAATCTTGGATATATTTTTTTCTCCGATTCTCTATCATTCTAATGGGCATAAATTACAATTTGCTTTATTATTTATCACAAACACATCAGTTATGCAAACATCGGATAACATTGTATCGAATATCCGGGTATCCGACGAATCGAGTAGTAATAACTCTAGCCTCAATTATCTCGTAAGATATCTGAATACCTGGGTACTCGGATATCTAATGAGTTACTTAGATGCAAAAAGAAAATATGAATTTGTAAATGAAAATGTAAACGAGTTTATTTGCAGTAAACATATTGAAAAAAGTTCGCTTAGAAAAAAATAAAATTCAAAATTCGTTAAAAAAAAAACACTTTACTGAATGCAGAATGTAATAAACTTTTCAAAGGTACGAAACAATCTCGAATCAAAGAATAGCAAATCAACGAACAAGCCAAATGTTGAATGAATACAAATCTGACATTTCATGTAACGTTATCTAATAAATATGTACATCCTAAGAAATAAAATTCTCGATAGAAAAACCTACTAATTTCTTAAGATATTAGTTCATCAAATCTAAAACAAAGTCTTTGTTGTTCATTATATTCCCATGTATTATAATACATTTAGTGTGTGTAAACTACTACTCGATCAAAAAATTAGGACAACTCACAATTTTAACATTTTTCATGTTCTCAATAAAATTTAATTTATATATATTAGTAAATAAAAATTAATATATAATATATATATAATATGTATATTATTACATACAAATTAATAATTTATATATTATTATACATAGTATTTCCTTACATTTTATTATTGAGTATTTATTGAATGAGAATTCCTATCCGTAATAAATGATTGAGAATCGGATGAATTTTTATGCTAAAATATCAATTACTAGTGATAAGTAATTAAACAAATGTACTATTTACAATAGATTTAGATTATCCAAAAATAAAGGATATGATAGAGTATGTCGGAAATGATACACAATTGAAGTAAAGGGAGAAAATTATTAATTATTACTCAAAAATTACTATTATTATATATAACATATTTAAATGTAATATGTGTGTATGTTTAATAGTATGTGTCTTTAATAGTTAATAAAAATTATCATCAGATTACATTCAGACTCTTAAATTTTACTAAAAGATATTGAAAATTGTAAGTGGCCTTAATTTTTTGACTAGGAATTGTCTTACTTTGTTTTTCATTGCTTTTCATTACCTCCTGTTTCTACGGATAAAAAGAAAAGAGAAACAAAGAAAAAGAAGAGGAATAGTCTATTATACAGAGTGTCTTGCCTCATGGTCAACCGATTAGATGATTCTACATGTAAAAATATGTCGAAAAAAAGAATAAAATTCTTTCATTAAAACCTTGCTTTTCGAGAAAATTGAGTTTGAAAATTTATCGAGTAAATTTGAATTTAACTAATTTTAGACGTGACAGAACAAAATAATTGCCAAAAGGTTATTCTACGCACAAAAACAAATAAAAAACATAAAATAAAATTTTTCTATAAGATGTCCCGTTTTCACGAAAATCAAGTTTGAAAATTAATCATCGTATACGTGTGCTTAAAATAATTTTTAACAGAATGTATTTAAAGTTTGTTTTCTTAAAAACGATGTTTTAAGCAAAAAAACTTTATTTGTAAGCATAAAAAGCTTCCTCAGTATGAAATTATCCAAATTCAAGCATAATTAATAAATTTTCAAACTTGATCCAGCTTTCAAACCAAAAAAGGTTTTAATGAAAAAAATTTTATTCTTTTTTTTTCAACACATTTTTACGTGTAGAATCACCTCCCAATCCATGATTCTTCAGACACACTGTATATGTATACCATATGTTTTTAACTAATGTAACTATACCTGCAACCGTGGTAAGTTAAATTTACATACAGTGGCCCGATAAAGCTGAAACCGACTGATTTTTTAAATATTTATAGGCTATAACTTCCTCCGATTGTTTATAAATGTATTCAGCTATATTAATTGTACAGTATGATGAATTTGCATTTTTTTCTGTATTTTTTTCTACATAGGTAGTCTTGCGCACATAAGCAGTCGACTTGTATATGGACTTCAATCGGAATATATTTAAAAGGCTGTTTATTTAATGTGAAATTACGAATTCAACGACTATTAAATATTAAAAGAGTAGCACAAAAGAAAATGAAAATGAAGAAAAAAAAAAAAAAGGAAAAGAAATTTCGGCACTGATAAATTCTGTGTGACATACAATTTTCTCAAGTATTGCAAACGGTAATAACAATAATAATTGCAGCATCACGCTAATTTATTAAAAAAATGCGTAGTCACGCATATCTAATCTTTGCGTGTTTGCAAATGTATAAGTGAAAAGAATACGGATAGAATCCACGGTGTGGACACGGACGTAAGTACATTTACTTACTTACATGTGCGCGTACACCACAAGTTGGTCCGCATTCCACGAGTGGAACAACCGGTACACGGTCCAGTGACTCTCAAGTTGCATCTCTACAAGATGTGTTCGAATATGATGGAATCGTTATGCAATAGAAGACGAGAGTCAGTGGCCCGTTGGATTCGTGGAAGGTGAGCTGTCCTTCCGGGTCCTCTTCTCTTCTTTTCCTACCTCGCTACACCTTTCTCTTCTCTTTTTTTTCTTTTTGCTTATTTCATTCGTTTCGTTTCATCACTTTCACGTGATCATGTGCTTATAGCTTGTGGATGAGTTGAAATCGAAAGTCGTAACGTAAAAGAAAAATGATGCACAGCTGTTTCTTGTTGCCATTTCTTTCACCCCTATGATTTTGTTTTTTTACTTGTTTGAGTATCTTGATTTTACGAAATAGGATGCTCCTTAATGTTCGTATAACGAGTAGGTTATTAATGATAATAATTACAAGTCGTTTTGTTTGATTAGAACGCACTCCTTTTTTTTAAACATTTAATTCTTTGTTTATTTTAGTATATTGTATTTATAATCCCATTTTTAAATATTTTCATAATATTTCATAGTATTTCTATAAGTAAATAATAATCAATTTAGTGGCACAATAAGTCACAGTAATATGTACGTCGAAGAAAGTACTAAACAATCTACTTAGGTAATAGGTGATAGTAACGATACCTTTGAATGATGATAAATATTTTAACTAATAATTATATGTTTATAAATCTTACTGATAATAAGAAATAATAATTTGGAGAGCTGGATTTCAGCTGGTATCTGAACTTCTAATATCATACTTAAATTAAATTTAAATATAAATTTGAGTTTCTGATTTACATATGCATACAGATCTCATGTATTTCAATTGCCAAGTACACAGTAGATACCTTCTTTAGTATTGCATGCACATACATATATAGCACATTTCTACGTATATGTGATATTACAATACAATAAGCATAGGCATAACAATACACAAGGCAAGGTTAATATATAATTGTAATATATATACAGCATGTTCTCTTTATCTCAAACTTGAAATATCTCGTAGGGAATTTATAAAAAAAAAATAAATATTGTTTTATAAATTGTTTGATATAAAAGGATATATTGTGCTGCAAATTATTTTTTTGTAAATGAAATTGTGTGAGAAACTTCAAGATCAACTTCATTCTTCTAAATACAATCATAGAATTTTTGAATGCATTAATCGATTTATTTGGCCGTTTCCTAAAAATATTAAACTTATTTATCTCGAGAAATCATTGGCTTAGGAAATATTTTAGCTTTAATTTTGTAAACCGTATCGTATGAAAAGCAAGGATACCGCTTATATCTTTCCTTGTCTTTTACATAATAGATTTTACAAAGCTAAAGCTAAAATATTTCTTAAGTCGTTTATAAATCAAAAATTTTTTAACATAATTAGATTAATACTTTTTTTTATAAGGAATGCCTAGATCAATTAATGTATTCGTAATTGATATAATAATTCGTATGATTCCATTTAAAAAATAATCGAAAACAATAATCGATTTCTTACTTTAAGAAAATTTGCATGCATATTATATTTATACTTAAAAGACGCCGATGAAGAAATATGAAAAAATAAAAAAAGTATTGAAAAATTTATTCAAAATGCCTGACATCTGGTTAGATCGACTTTATGCTCAATCCGGCGCATTACGTACTAATTTGCAGTATTATTTAATTCGACATTTAGTATGGTGCATTGAAATAAAATGAATTTTATTAGGAAAAATCATAATACAAAGAATTCACAGTTGATATTAATTTCAAAACTCGTAAATGATAAATGCGGAATTTTTGAAAAGAATTGTTTAGAATTTGACTGAAAATAATACGAGGACGAGCATTTATATAAAGATATATGTAAATTGACGTTATGAAGAGGAAATCGAGTCGTGTTAAGTCGCACATAAAATTGAAACGTTACAGAAAATGATAATATATCGTTGGATGGCAAGTAGCTGTCACAAATGAACTATCGGAAGAGTAAAAGGTTAACACCCTCTACTAGCCTTAAGAGCGTCTTAACTCAGTTTAGTCCGTGACTTAGGAGTGTTTCAAGACCCAAGAGACTCACGTATCCACGTAGCATCAGCATCACTATTCCTTTTCTCATACGGATTATTCATATTCTCAACTCCTCTTCATAATCGCCTGTTTGGCCCGAATACACGCATTTCTTAATCGTCTTAATGACGATTGGAAAGATTTAAAATCTTATAATCCAATCATATTACTTCTCTCAATTTCTTTTAATCAGTTAATGATTACTTTTAATAGAATTTTAACGCAAAATTGAAGAGAACTTGCTCGATATTCGTATCTCAAATGTTTAAAAATTTGGAAATACTCGAAAAGAAATTAAGATCAAATTCGTGGGAAACTGTTAATTTATGATTCAAATTAGTCGAAATACCAAGAATAAGTTATAATTTTAGATTACAAATTATTGAAATATTTTCCTGTGAAATTAGTTGCAGAGAAATTCATAATAATAATAGTGAGAATATAGAGGACTAATACATTGCGTTGACAATGAGTGAACGGCGAAACGTTTGAGAACCACTGGCGGCGTCGCACATTTCGCTAAACTATTTTGCTCCTTGTATCGAAATTAAACTGTTTTTTTATCCTTGATTTCTTCTTGAAAGAAAAATGTCTTTTCTATTTCGTTTCATATACAATTGGAAAATATTTCGAAAATTGATGCAAAACAGAAGTTTGTAATATTGCTTAAAATAGAGTTATAAACGAGTGAATTATTTAAAGTTGTGAAATATAAAAATTTGTTTTCATCTTTAAAAAAAAGAGAAAGAAGAGAAAGAAGAGTGCATGAAACTGATCGTACTTCACTGAAAAGAGATAAAGTAATCATTTCAAGGATGAACAATAAAAGTAGAAAAGTATTAAACAAAAATTGAACGAAAAAAAGATATAAAAATATAAGAGTGGAAAATCGGAATAGACAGTGAAAGAGGAATAGAATGAAAAGACTATGTGAAGAAATAAAACGAATGAGGAATAAAGAGTAAATAAAAGATTTGACGTGTAAACGTATGGAAAAATGAATCGGTGATTCAAATTAGAGTAGACATACTTATATGCACTTTTATCTAAATGTAATAAACCTAGCAAACATATAGTGCAAAAAAACATGCGATATCAAGACTAAATGGTAGTACCGAAGACCTCAAACTAGAGTAATGAAATTCATTCGACTCTCAGTTAATCGACACCTTGTAAAATTACTTTATTTTTCGCTTTACCTAATTCTAATTACAAAAAAATGTTGATAATGTTAAAGAAATTATTTTTTAATTGTTAAAGAAAATATTTTTTTAGAAGTTTTGGGCTAACTTATATATCAGCAGTTCTATCGTCAATCTCATATAATCTCTTATAATCGAAAAGACGATTTGTCCGCTTGCTCCTAGCATATGTACATATGTATATGTTTTGGTGCTTTCATGAAGCTTAAAGAATAATTAAAGAAGAATTTGCACATATAGATATATGTGATTTTTTTCGCAAACAATCAAGTTTCGTTGAAGTTATTTTGATTTTGTATTTAAAACTTAAAGTTACATCAGAATCTACCAATCGATATATTGATGTATGTATACCGACCAATTTGTCGAAAAATAACATTAAAAAAAAAAAACAGAAGATGGAAGAAAGGGAACAGAAACTGGTTGATCGATGAGTAATTTTGTATTGGAAGAACTGTGTATACTCGACAACATTACAGTTAGAGCGCGTGTCGATTCTTTTTATGTAATGCATACACTTAGGTCCAACAGTATACACGTCGCTTGTAAATTGTGCAAGTTGTTCTACGACGTAATTTTCTTACGTACGTGTATATACATCTTTTCATTTGATATCACTTGCATATCAGCTTTGCATACTTCACAAGAAAAGAACATAGGTGTTTACACTAGTCTGTTTCATTTTACCTTAATTGCCTCAACAAATGGTAAAAATTAAATATATTATAATTATGTTTCCCTCTTTTTTATACAAGAGAATATTTATATCAGATATAAGTTACACGTCAAATTACAAAAACAATTCTAACAACTACGCTATTCGACTGAGCTATCTACAAGTCATGACACACGAATTGTAAAAATTCATTTTAAAATCACGTTGCTTTGGTATTAATGTTTATAAACGCGCTAGGAATAATTGCAAAATATTGTCGAGAATTTAATATCTACGGAAACCGAAATTTTTCTACAGTAAATTAATAAATTTCAACATCGATAGTGAATCGATATCGAACAATAATCACGGTAAATATCGCATCAACACTCACCACGTCACAGCAGTCGATTGAACGAATTGTATCCAATTTTGCAAATAATTGGTGAAACGCAGTGTCCAGCGAATGTCGAACCTGAGGTGACGAGGAGACAACGTAAAACAACTGTTACGCAACAGGCAACTGGTTGTATACACACGAGTTACAGTTGATTCGAAACCAAACGTCAGTAGTTACACTGTCATCGTCACCGTCACTGTTGCTTTCGATACTGTTCACATTGTATAGAATATTATCGAACACACGATACAGTAACCAACCAGTTTTGAGTCGGTTAAAATTCGAGGCTGAACGAGACGAAGGACCGACGAGAGAAAAGGTGTAAAGATACAGACAGGGAACATACGATGACCTCAGTAATCATGTCATTCGCGATCACCGTTTCTTACACAATTAACAAAAATAATGAAACTAGCCTGGAGTGACAAGCAGGCAAAAATTGAATAAAATTGAAGGTTCGTATCGCAACTAACACGGTTCCTTTTTCGTTACACTTGCTCGTACAACATCCGTATCGTCCGCACTGGCACTCGCGTCTACACTCGGCTCGTCGTCTCCTACAATCTAACTTCGTCTGTTTCCGTCATTCTTCGACTTTCGCGGCAACACTGGCGCCTCTTCGTGAAACCGCATCTCAACATGTATTTTAAAGCAAATGAATTGCACAGATAAACTTCCTTTTCGAGCAAATAAATTCATAGAATTTTATTCTATTTCATTGCAGGATATTAATTATTTATTTTCTTTTACTTATTAACGTTTCAACATAGACGAGGTATACCTCGTTCATATACCTTGTCTGTGATTTCACGTTACTGGAAAGCAATAGTTATTTCGCTTGAATACGAATATAATACTTGTTATATAGTACTTCATCTAAATATTCTGAAGCATAAAAAAAAGAATTGTAAGAAAAAATTAAGAGAAAAAATTTCTTGAGAGAAATTTATAATTTCATAAAATTTTTAAAATAAACTAATTATAAAGTAACATAATTTATGTATTTATGCTGGATAATCGGTTTTTATGTAATAAAGCAATACAACGGATTGAAATATTTTTTAAAATAAAAATGTTAGTATATATATCCTCTTAGTATATTCTTCAATATTTATATTTTGTAGAGATATTGTATAATATTTTACTGCATAATATGGCTTTTTATCTATGCTTATTTACAAACACAACATACATGCTGGGGCGTGGTTTTAAGATTGTTACCAAGGAATCTACTATACCGATTTATGACACTGATAACCATTCAAATTAAGGAGATTGATTTAACGCGGATTGAAAAATATTTATTATTGATTCTATATTTACCGTGAAAACAACTTCGATGATTAAATTTTTCAGATATAATCAGAATATATTTATTTAATATAATTTTGTAATAAATCCTAAATAAAACTACTATCTGCAGTGAAACGATAGAGAAACACACAAGACACGTGACTTGTGATATGTTTTAACTCTCAAAATGATGATTTTACAATGATTTCGTTTAACAGAAATGATGATTTTACAATGATTTCGTTTTACAGAAATGAACATTGAAAAAAAGAAAAAGAGAAAAAGGGGGAAAGAGAGAGAGAGAGAGAGAGAGAGAGAGAGAGAGAGAGAGAGAGAGAGAGAGAGAGAGAGAATGAGATTACGGTGATGGCCAGAAGGCATGCGCGCTGGAAATGGCGCGGCCACACGCCGCTCCGTCCTCCGCAGGTACGCCGAAAGGACGTAGCAAGAATTCGCGTAGTCACGATTAGGAATGTAAAGGTCACTCGGTCTTTCGACGAAAAAGAATTCGACGCTGTGGGGACCTTGGGCTCAGCCCGCCCGGGCCTCCTGTCATCATCGCCGCGAGACAATCGCGCGCGACCTCGAAATTCCGCGAAACAACGAGAAATTGTAAAAATATTGCATCGTCTGTGCATGTGCAGGCTACTATGAACTTGCGAGCTTTTGCACACTTTGTTACGTGTGCCACGTGTGCGTGTTTTTTGTCCACGTGACATTCTTTCCAATTCGTTTCGTAAAACAGGAGAGAATTCTAGTTTCTCTAGCGACCAATCCTAAAGAGCTGACTAACGTAACCTGCATTTAGTTACACTCATCGGTGATCTCAAATATCTCGCGACTTGATCGAAAGAAAAATAGAAAAGATTATACGGCTGTGCGTTCCATTTGTTACACAGCCATTGGAAAAAAATCGGCAAGACGATAGGTTATGTTTGCGGCGCGTCTTGACTCCTGGCATCAATAGCGTGTACTGGCGACTGGCGAAGTTTACTCGTTTTGTTAGACGCGGGGCGTAACACGAAAGGCGAACCCCGGGTAGGGTTCGTTTATTTTGACGAGTGGAAAAAAAAGCGGGGAGGAGGGGGACACGCGGGGAATCGCGTAGTTTCCCGGCTACGGGTCGCACGGATCGGGCGCTCCGGCTCGTTCGGTTCGTTGCTCCTCCGTTTTAATTCGTCGCTCGCCGCCCTCCAATTTCCTCCGCGACCAGGTAGCTCCAGGGGTCCCGACGAAAATCGATGGGAAAGCCCCGGAGATTTTCACGAAAACACACGAGTCACCGGGGATCTCTCCCTCTCTCTCTCTCTCTCTCTCTCTCTCTAGCTCTTTTTCTGTCTCTCTCTCTCGCGGATGGGTAAATGAAAATCGGAGGATCGCGAGAAGCGAAAGATGTCGATCGATGCCGATACGCGGAAATTGAGAACGCTTCTCGCTCGTTCTCCTTCTTCCTTCTTCTCCTCCTCGTCGTCGTCGTCGGGGAAACGCCGAGTCGACTCGCGATATCGGTCCGGTGAACCGGAATAACGATCGATCACCGACGGGTCGGAGGGTTATTTTTGGATTAGAACCTCCAAGATTTCTGAATTCCCGAGAAACCATTATTGCCGGCGAAACATTTGAAAGACCGAAGAGTCGAGGTCTGACCTCTGCGACGATGTCAGACGAGAAAAACAAAACGCGAAACGAGAAATTGTTAATCGCTAGATAATTGTTAGTCGCGGCTAATTCCTTCGAGGAAACGCCTCGTATCGTTGCCGCAATAACTCGTGGACGCGAACCACCTGCTCGGCCCCCCCTCCCGCCACCCCAGGGCCATGATGCGGACGGCGATAACCGGATAAAAACGAACGCTGTTTAATTCCACTCTTCTCGCCGTTAACGCTGCCTCGAGTTTCCAATTTTCTTTTACTCTCGAAACTGTGGCTGCATCGTCAGTCACGTTTAGATTAACGTTCCTCCCCCCTCCTTTTCGCTCCAGAGTGTTTTTGTTGGTTGGAAGTCAAATGTAATGGATGATCAATGTATACACGATCAACATAATATACGCATATACGATATGTTTCTCACAAACAGTGTGTTTCATTGAAAGTTGTCACCCCGACTTATTTTAGTAGCAGTCGTCTATAGTACAGTATAGTATGGGGTACAGGTGTTTACAAAGTTCACAAAAAATTCGCCTCAATTCGCAGTTGATAAAAGTGAGGTTATGGTCATAAGTGGTGTCGGTCTTGTCCACCTCTGTTCGAAAATCTCTTTTGTTGCTATTAGAAAACGCGTTAAAGTACGATTTTTTTCCCGCCAATTTATTACGTTGCACGGGAAAGTTTGTTACACTTGGAGACATAGTGTCTCGAAAGGCTTAACCTCTTGCGCTGGAATGACGTGCCACGCACGAGAATATTTGACTCAAAATTGCAATATTTTCTTCAGTTTTCAGTAATATTGAAATATAACCCAAGCAAAACAAATAATAAATTTATTACCTTTTAGTCATTTTTATCCAGTAATGTACCGATGAATTCAAAAGAGAAGGCGAATTATTGTATACTGTTTGGTCAATCGACTTATGGTATAGTGAACCAGTCACTAGAGGTTAAAACATTACTGCCCGTTTCGATGTCGCAAGGTCGACAACGTTCTCGTCCTTTTTGAAACTCGAAACGCTACGAATGAAACGCCACTGCCGCGAATTCATTTGTTTCCAATCGACGGGGCGCGCGAAAAGCATCAGCTGTAGCAAAAAACAAGTACGCGCGAGCCGCAAAATCATTCGGAGTAGTGTCACGTGTGAAATTGAGACTCGCGGCGGCGCCAATGTTTGTAGATTCCCGCGTAATCGTTGCAAAGGCAGTGATAACATTATTAAAACATTATGACGTAGTATCGGTATTACGTGCCACTTACCACCACAGAGACTCGTTCTCGAATGACGCCATAACAGCGATCAGCCGGTACCGGTAGCCAATTGACGTAGTTTTACGTCTTCTCGGAACCCGACACCATCTATCGAACGTATCGCGGTACATAGAAACATAGTGTGTGTCATTCGCGACATACATTTCGTACATATACACGAGAAATCAAAGATGAAACCAAAAAAAGAAAAAGAAAAAGAGCATACATACGTTTTGACGTTCGATCTCGCAGGAAGCAAAGTCACCGTGTTCCGATTCCGTTCCGTTTCGATTCGTTAGATCCGAGACGGGCGCGCATGCGCACTCCGCGATCCTTTTCCACAAAGCCTAATTTCCAGGCATTAAAACACCGCCGATAACCTCCTCACGCTCGCTCGAGCCTGATATTCATATATGCTCGGCGCACGACTGGCCAACCTTTTTACGCAACAAAGCGCGCCCGAACCGCGCTTCGTACTACGATCATTGCGCGAAAGCCGGCTTCCGGAAACTATCCGCCGCATCTTCTCTCTCTCTCTCTCTCTCTCTCTCTTTCTCTCTCTCGCCATTCATAAACTCTTTTCGCCGGCTTGGCGTGTAATGGAATAGCCTGGGCGCACCGGCGGCGCATAAACGTCGAACGCGCCCGCTTCTCCACACCCATGGCCCCGCAAAGTATGTACATACGGGCGAAACTAAATCAGACGGTAAATACACTGCGCTCTAGTCCCAAGCCGGGCGTCACTGCTGCCGCGTCGGTCAGCCTCTAACCTCTTTCTCGCACTCTTTCACTCTTCCATGTTTCACTCGCGCTCACTTGCCTCATTCTCTTTCTCTCTCTCTATTGCACGCATCCCTCGAAAACGCTTTCCCTTCCGAAAACCTTCACCGTTGACTCGATTATCGTCCATCCGTCCGGCGAGTTTGCGGCAACGACGGCTGCGATACCAGGGGAACAGCAATCGCGCGGAGCTCGCCGGCACCATCCTCCTGTTCCCCGCTACTGGCCCGCCAGCGTATCACGCTCGGTGTGTGTTCCAGCGCGGCCCGCGTATATATTTATATATATATATATGTATAGCCCCGGCGTATAGGTGCGCATGCATGCATGCAGGCAGCTATTTATGTAAGTGGTGTCGCGTACCGCGCACACCAGCGCGTAAACGTCCACGCGCGACACTACTTACATAAATAGTAAGAGGGGGGGCGACTGGGAGGGTGAGAACCTAGAGAGAGAGAGAGAGACAGAGAACGAGAGACCAGCGAACGAAGAAGAAAAAGAAGAAGAAAAAGCGGAACGAGATGGGATTGGGCGAACGTCGGAGTAAGACGGAATAGAGGAACGTGATGGAGCGACAGAGAGGCGGCGAGTCGAGTGTGCAGTGAGTGCGAGAGGGACGGAGGATAAAGAAGCGACTCGAAGTGTATATACGCGCGTACATATACATGTATATATATATATATATATATATATATATATATGTATTGGAGAGAAACGCGAGCGGAGCGATGTGCGACCACATTGGCCGTCGTCACTGGCGGCTTCCAACGGTGGATCCTCGAAAGGGCAGAGGTGAAGCTTCACCGAGCTGTACACAAAACCGCTTCTCGTTGCAAAAGCGCGAGATTGGATGTCCACGGATGTACAGGGTGTCGTGTAACCCCTGGCGGGATAATCGGGTCGGTGGTGGAGGGTAGTATTAGAGAGGACGGAGACAATTCTTCCGTGGAAGAAAATTCGGCCGGTTCCCTTAGCTGCGAATGACGAGTGACACTCGTCGCGAAGAAACGGCAATTTCTTCGTGCAACAACGAGTACACTCGTCGGTAAGTAAATTGAACTTGTCGCTCGATTTGTCAATCCTTTTGCAGAAAGTAAAATGCACGCGTTTGTAAATTTTTGGAACACTTGTTTCATTTCGAACACATCCGGACTTGGGCGTTTTGAATTTTAGAATGTTGACTCGACCCTTAGTCTTTTCTAACCATTCTCTTCCTATCAATGCTAATCGATACTTAATTGAACTGAACGATATTTGATCGATTATTGACTCCTCGAGAAAGGAAAAACTAGCGTAATTTGTAATTCAATTCAATTCGACCAATTAATCAAACGTAATTAAGTTTAAATGAATAAGAAAATAAGTTTCGCCTAATACGAATATAGATTAATAAAAAATAAAATGCTGCTCCGTTTATATGAATTAACCGAATTAATCACCCTGAATTTATATCTTTTATAATGTGACAAGATTCTTTCAAGAGTAAAATCAATATTTGGACAATAATGTATAGATAAGAATAATCCTGAAATAATTTGGATTATTAAAAAAATTCCCAATATTGATCCAAAAATTTCATATACGATTAATTGGCGTTGCAAGATATATAAATGATAATGGAATTTTTATTATAATATTTTTATAAATTAATATTTTAAATTTTTTCATTATACACTTGTTTCGTAACTTGTGGCACCCACTTCGGGAGCTGATTGTACGCCCAAATTTAATGAAAAAAAAACCATATAAATATATGTCCTGTCTGTCTTCGTTTATGAGATATAATGAATTTTCTGTTTCAATTACTTTTACAAAAGATGCTCGAAATGACCACCTTGCATTTGAAGACAAGCCTGCACGCGTCTTGTCATTCATCTGGTTACTCTCTCTCTATCGTTCCTGGTGTTTCTCGGATTTGTCGGAAGCCTTGCTCTATTCTATTTCGTAGTATTTCAGCATGTTCAATCGNGAGAGAGAGAGAGAGAGAGAGAGAGAGAGAGAGAGAGAGAGAGAGAGAGAGAGAGAGAATGGGAAAGAAAGAGAAAGAGAGCTCAAAAACACAGATGCTTAATCAAATATATATATTGAAGCATAAATATTGCATATTGTAGATGCATATTTAAATATGTATGAGAATACACAGCACATACACACACACACACACACACACACACACACATATACATTTACTCAAGTCATGTGCACCATCTATCGGAAAGAGGTGGTACAATATTTCATTAGAATTGTTTCGGCCCTCTATTCAACTTTTGTGAATTTCATCGGCACAGTCGAATGTGATTTGAAGATGGCGATACAAGAGTAGAATTGAACGAACGGTTTGCAAGGAAATCTCTTCTTGCAATAATGGCTGAAATATTCGACCATCGTTATGTCTGGTGAGTAAAAAGTGATATCGAATTAAACAAAGTTTCCGAGAAGGGATGTCTGGGTATCTTGAACCGACCAAAGAACTTCTATCGGCCGACAATGAAATCTCGTATGTATGTATGTATGTACATAACTATATGTACGAACCGTTTCTCTTTCCAGACTGGGAAGTTCAATGCGGCGCACAAGCATGTGTCACGTCGTGATCAGACGAGAATATAAGTTGTACGAGTGTCTTTATACGAACGGAATACGATCCTACCAATTTATATTTGTATACTTGCGAAAGATCACAAAGCTAATCTAAGTCAGAGACACGGGAAATGGTACAAACTTGAGTCGTGTTTTCGATTATCTGATAAATAGGAAACAGATTATTCAATTAATTCTTTTTTTTTTAAATAGAAAAATACAATTAGTTTCGTGATAATGATTCGCCCAAACAAATTTATAATACGTATATATGTTTAATCACTTGAGAGTTGAACAAGTAAATAAATTATTTGATTTAATACAAAAAAAAAAGGATTATTCTATAATTAGTAAAAATAATAGCAAAGAGGGTAAAATGAAAAGTAGACATTGATATCAATTGATGATACATATATAGGGTTTAATAATTACTTAATGTGTTCGTTCTAAATGATACGGATGGATTTCTTTTGGTTTCTTTGGCGGCTTTTCGTGCTAATAAAGGGAATATTTCAAACAGGGAAGGCCTAGAGCTACTAATACAATTTACTAATTGAAATGAAAATGGATTATCTTTGTACATACGTATATATTTATGTGATATATTTACATCGAAGTAAAAAAGAGAGCAAGCGATTATGGAATTGCAAATGATCCTCTCGGTCGCGCCAAATTAACACGCACGCGATCTAGTCAGGAAGGAAGACTTAAGTTTACTTCTTAACGAAGAAATTATGATGGATCGAGAATAAAGGAAGATCATGCAACCGACATATCCTGACACATCTAAGCAAAAATATAAGAAAAATATAATAATAGAATTGTATTGTGAATTTTTTCAAAATATTGCGAGCAAAGATTATATCTTTGGGGAAATGGAACTCATGCATTGAATATCAGTTGAGAACAATTTCATTGCATTTGTGATACTAATAATTTATAAATTCTGTTAAAATTTATTACCAAAGGAAATGTATTACCAAAGAAACATAGTTCCAAAAAAATATTGATTGTGTAAATGAGTAGCACATAAAATTAATTTTAGTAATCATAGTTGTATTATTAACGGTAATAATACTAAATTGGTCTTTGCTGGCCTGTAGAATAGATAACCTGATTGATATGAAGGGAGTTAACTTCATTCATGTACGTAATGCTGAATGTATCAAATATTAATACTTATGCAAAGGATAATGTACTGTGATTGCATAACAAATTTTGAAGTACTAACATTTTTTATTGTTAAAAATTATTAACTGATGAAAAATTAAAATGCATTTGCTGATTTGTATTTTTTATTAATATAATTGTTGCACAGCAGCAATTTTTTGTTATCAGCATCTCTTGATTTAATATCAAAAAAGAAAAAAGTGCAAATTTTCTAAATATAATTTTAAAGATTTATATTTTTTAACAAATGATAGAGATTGATGGTAAAAGAAAAACAATTATTTCCTTCATATCAAGTGCGGTCGACGCGGTTGATTTAATGTGTGTTATCATTGAATGAACAAATGCAAGTGAAAGAAAGAGGGAGAGAAAGACTTCTTGATCGATCGTATATTGCGAGCGAATAGGCAAAGAAGAATAGCATTTTAGAACAGTTATATTGTGACAGAAAAAACAAGAACTAAAGAAGCATGAAAAAGGAAGAAGAGATTCTCGAAAGATTAGCGAAACTAGTAACTCTGTCTGGATAACCAATTGTTTTACTGACAATACAGGGAAAATCGATACGTATCGAATTGTCCTTCAAAGAAGTGTATATAAAGAATCATGATTTTCAATGGCCATCGAGTATTAGTGTAGCAGCAGTAGAAGTCGGATTGTCAGTAGAAAGACACTGACAACATAGTGAACGATTGAATCGAAGGAAAGAAAGACAAGAGGTTGTATAGAAGAAACTCGTAGGAGGGGGATTGAAAAAACGAAAAGGGTATGGAAAGAGTCTGAAGCAGGGTGGAGAGGATGTCTGGTTGGGCGGAGGGGTGAAATTCAGAGCAATATCGACCGCGAATTGCGCTTGCGTGGAAAAAGGCGCGCAATCGCTGTTGAGGAAACAGTGTACCGCCGCGAGGAACAAGCAGTCAGTCGATCGTCGCGACGACCATCACCGACGAACAATAACCCTGTTGTTCTGTCGCTCTTTCCTTATATGGCTGCCGTGGTTATTTCGCAGCCAATATTCTCTCTTGCACTGATATCAATTATTTCATCGATCAGAAGAAAAAGCTTCGCGTATTTCCATACTCAGTACCTTGGTAAATTTCATCATATAACCACTTGATTCTTTCATTCTTTTCGCGAAAATTGAGTACATCGTTTTTCTTCGACTCTCGGTTTTAGCGCTATTCCACTTCTTCCAATATTCTTGTAACAGTCTCGGTGATTCCAATGCGCGCACGGAAGAAACACGTATTTGTAGAAAGCTACCACGTGAAAAGAGAAGTTGTTGTTAGTAAGTATACACCAAAGGAATTGTAAGTAAAAAGAGAACAGAAAACGCCTAGATATTTCTACGAAATTAGTCTTTCTCCCCTTTTTCTTTCATTCACTGACTCTTTTAATTCCTGTGTTTCAATTAAGCATATATAGGATCGGTAAATTAACTATGATTTAAGATATTCGCAACGATTCCTAAATCTTAAGCAAGGTAACACGTACTTTGAAGTAATGTGTAAAAAGTTAATGCTATAAATCGTGCAGACGAGGAAACGAAAGAAAGAGTTAAAGAGAGAGAAAAGGAGGAACGCACGTAGTGGGAAAGAACAAGAGAAGAGAGTGAGAAAGGGAGAAAAGAGGAAATATCGAAACGATAAGAATACGATAACGAAGTATAGTTACTTTACTAATACATGCATATGCTTCGCTACCTCTTTTGTTTCTAGTTCTTGTTACAAAAAAATAGATCGAAAACTCGTCTCCAAAATCAAAAACGGTGGATAAGAAACGCATTGTACGATTTTAAGTTTTGTTGCGAAAATAACTTCAATTACGATTCAGATGCGAGATTACGATTTTGATGAGAAAAAGAGAAAGAGTGAATGACAAGTTGCGAATATTTATGTAAGATAAAAGAAAAAGTTAAATGGCCACACTCGATATGCAACAAAATATTTTAAATCAAGTAGCTGGAAGTGAACAACAGCAGCAAGAAGAAGTTCAATTAACCGAATTATTACCGGTGAAGCAATCACAAATAAGAGAGAATGAAATTTTTAAGCATATGGACACAAATACCGATGCGACCGACGCTTTGAAGATACTCCAAAGTTTCACCATTACCGATAATTGTTATAACGATAGCGAACATGAATTTCACTCGAGAGATTTGTCTCCGTGCAGTAAAATCGGACAAATTGATCAAGAGCAGCAAGAGAATGGCAGACAATGGCGAGAAGATAAAAAAAGAGGAAGGAATAGCATCCGAAGATTCGAAAATGAATCAAAAACACAGAAAAAAGTGTATAAATATGTTAATAAACAATCGATGATCGATCGCGTAGTGAAATCTACGAAAAAGAGAACGATCATCTATACGGTAGAAAATAATAAAGATGAAGGAAATGGTGACGAATGGATGGGAAATCATAAATTCGAAGAAAACGCATTTTTTGAAGATAAGAAAGGAAACTACATATCGAAGAATGACGAACAGATAGAGTCAACGATTTATTTCGATCCTGACAAAAATAATTTGAACGATGACATTTACTTGATTCATCGTGAATTGGTAAACGAGGGACAAGGACGGAAAATAAACTCGAGAAGCAACGTAGAGACAATATATGAAAAAGACTATGCCAAGACTACCGACGGAGCTTTGCTCGATCGAATAGCTTCAAGGACATTGATCGAAAAGAACGTTGATGAAATCGGAAAACGATTCGATGCTATTGCTACTGATCTATCAAACACAAAATTGATACTCGAGAATTCGGCAGAGGAACCAAAACTCAACTTTCGCATAACAACGATGAGTTATCTCGTGGAAAACAAAAATAATAATAGCACAGTTCGAATTGAAGAAAATTCAACAAGTTCATTATTTGGACCAAATACCAGTAACAATATAGTTATTGTCGAATCACCATCGTCGTTGTCGTCTGCGGTATCGTCATCGTCATCGTCATCGTCATCGTCATCGTCTTCGTCATCGTCTTCGTCTTCGTCTTCGTCATCGTCATCGTCATCGTCATCGTCATCGTCATCGTCATTGTCATCGTCATCCTCTTCGTCTTCGTCTTTGTCATCGACATCGACATCGACATCGTCATCGTCGTTGTCGTTGTCATCGTCGTCGTCATCGTCATCGCCGCCGTCCTCGTCGTCGTCGTCGTCGTCGTCGTCGTCGTCGTCATGTTCATCATCTTCACCATCATCATCATTATCGTTGTCATTATCATCAACAACGTTGCCGCCATGTTCGAAAGAAAAGGATATGTGCGGCAGTGAAGATGGACAAGGTGAAGATGAAAATTCTACCATGCACGGTATTAAAGCTAAAGAAAATCAGCAGAAAAAATATTGTTGTGTAGTGTGTGAGGCGCGATTTAAAGGCAGCGGAGGTCTTCGCAATCACTATAAAATCGTACACGGAGCGGGACCAATCTTCAAATGCGACGAATGTGGAAAAGAATTCCCGTTAAAGGAAAGATTAAAATTGCACGTGAGAACGCACACTGGATTCAAGCCGTATAAATGTCCAGAATGTGACAAGAGTTTCGCTAGAGGAGGGCAACTGGTGCAGCATCGACGTACTCATAGTCAGGTGAAACCGTATCATTGTGGTTTGTGTTCAGGGACGTTTACCTGCGCTGCGAATTTGGCGTTACATGTAAAACGACACAACGGACAAAAGGATCACAAATGTGAAATTTGTGGTCGCGCGTTCGTACGGCGTGATGCGCTTAAAAAACATTTAGAATGCCTTCACAGAGACGTGAAGTCTTTCCTCTGTGTAATCTGCAACAAGACTTTCAAAGGTCATCTACCTCAACATATGAGAACGCATGCGCGTGATCGGCCACATGGTTGTGCCACGTGTGGTCAAAGGTTTGCTCAAAAATCTCAATTGACTGTCCATCAGAGAACGCATTCTGGGCAAAGACCGTTCAGGTGTCTGGTATGTTGGCAAGCATTTGCACATTCAACAGCACTCAAACTCCATACGAGAAGACATACTGGTGAGAGGCCGTTTAAGTGTGTCGAGTGCAATGCCGGTTTCACGCAACTACCCCATTGGAAAAAACATATGAAATGTATCCATGGCAGAAACGAACCGTACGCTTGCAAAAAGTGTACAAGTTTCTTCAGAATTAAAAATGATCTAGAGTGTCATGAAAAAACTTGTCACCCTGAATCCGAGACCGAACATGATGTTTCCAGTGCTCGAACTACAGATTTGATAACAAACACGACGATCATGCCGACATCAATTTCGATGACTTTACAACCGACAGCATCCCTGCTTTCCAATGAAATAATTAACGATAAATTCTCACCATCGCCTACCAAATATAAAATAATGACTGTCGAAAGGATGAGATTGTTACTCGCTGTACTTCTGAAAAGAATCAGCAAACAAGAAAGACTCGACGAGTTAGGTTTTGGTAAACGACTAATTGACGAGGTTCTTTACGATTCTCTGGTATCTGCTGGTAAAGAGCCAGTGACAAACAATGGTCATAACGAACTCGAAACACTCACTAAGAATCTTGAGATATTTCTTAAATGGACCGTACCTAAAGAACATTGGGAACATTTTCGCAAGTTAAACAAGACTCCCGAAGATATTTTAGAGACACTGACTGCTACTTAAAGTCCTACTTGTTTTAATATCACCTACATGGCAGTTGCTGTTATATATTTACCAAAGATTAACAAAGATACCGATTGATACCTCAAATTCTTTCGAAACTATGATCTAATTATAAAACAGAGGCTTTTCAAATTCAAGACTGTCTTTCTCCAATTATGGATCATATGATCTTTGTAACGAGTCTTATATTAATTTCCTTTTCCGTAGGTGAAGGAAGATTTGAATTGCGAAATCATACATGCTTGTTAATAAGCATTCGTTATAATTTAATCGTAAATAACAGAATTATTTGTGATTATTTATTAAAATTTCAGTGCATAGATGTTTGATTTAGTATAAAATTAGTACTTCCTAGTCCAAAGTGCAAATGCAATATTTGTAATAATAATTAAGTAAATGGTTATAAACAGCTTCCGTACTGTTTTATTATTATTATTATTTTTTTTTTGTTATGAAAAATTAAATACAAGATGATCGATTTACGAAATGATAGATGAACATATATTTTAATGATGTTAAGTCAGTTTTTACTACATATGTATGTTCTTTAAATGTAATAACGAGTTGTGCATAAACGAGTAGATTCGATAAATATTTTAATATTTTAACATCTAAAATTGAAAAATTGGTATTAAATTCTTTTTGTGATAAGCTAGTTATACATTGCGTGCCATGTTGTTTGTTTGTACAAAAATTCGTATGAACAATCTGAAAATATATAAATTTTTAGACGAAGCGACAATATAAGCAACAAAATTTTTATTGTGATGTATGTGTGATTGACATGATGCTTCAATTTTATAAGTTGATTTTCGTCAACGAACATTTAAGTATATCTACCACGTGTGGATATTCTTTTATAGTCAACGGACTACGTTTCTTTCGAAGTGCCATGCATCATTCTGTTTCTTGTTCCCATCCTTATATTATTGACTGTCTTATTTATTATGTAATATTAAAAAGGCTGTGTTGCTTTCATCATTTATAGAAGAAAATATGGTGATATCATGAATGTTAATGATGAGGATTAACATTATTTATGATGAGCAACAAATTGAAAGGTATTCATATAATAGCAATAGATTGAAAATGCATTTTTTTATATATTTGTCGTAGCGAAAGCTATATATATAATTAATGATAAACAAAGCGGGAAGATAAGAGACGAGAGGAAAAATTCATTAGAAAATATTCTGTTGTACAAGTTAACATGTACATTGTACATGAGTCTGAATAATGAGACAAGTGTCGCAGTGCAAATTTTTAGATAATTTTTGTTTAATTTAAAGAGGCTAAATAGTAATGCAGGCTATTGTATATTGTTTGTATCTTCAATCAAGCGTAAACATTCTATATTTATACATGCATCGTTGCAAATTATTGCATAAGTATAATATAAAAGTTCAATATATAAATTTTATTGATTTTTGTTTGTTTGTGATATCTTTCTTGCCATTTTTCACTTTCATTTTCAGTTATTTTTTAGATTATACATTAAATTACACATTATTTTCATTCAAATTCATAAAACAACTATCGTTTTGGGTGTTCTCGTAGAACTTTTTTTATATCTAAAAAACATGCGGTATTACGTGAAACTTTGTTGTGTTCGTGGCCTTACTGTCAAATGGGATCCGTCTCTCAATATCTAAAAGCCTTATTATCCTTATGTATTTTTTTTTTCGTATATTGTATGATTCTCTTTAATATATATTCGTCGGTGCGTAAATCATGCATATTAATGTTAATATGTTTAATAAATATGCTCATGCGCATAACATATAATTATATATTTTAAATAGAGATAAGTAAATGTGAGCAGACAATAATGATCAAAAGTTACAAGATTAATATAGTTGAAAAGAACAAAAAATATGTATACATACACGCGCGCGCATGCACATATATATGTTATTCTTGTTTTATTAGTATGTAATACAAATAGCATGTATATTCTTAGTGCGTTAATATTATAAGTAATAATTATCAATTTGTTAAAAACATTATACTAGGCAAATATTTTAAACACTTTTTTATTATAATTATATCATGTTAATTTCATAGTTATTTGTTTTATAAGACTCGATCAAATCAAACATTTTTATAGATCATTTTGTACAACAAAATAATCTGATACAAAATAAAAATATAAATAATATAATTATTTTCTGACAGATGACGTTTGAAAGTATTAAAAATTTCAATAAATCATCCATTGTTTATTCGACATATGTATATGTATATGTCTTATAAAAATTTAAGCAATCATATGTTAAATATAGTAGATTGTAAGATGTACGTACTATGTATATTGACAAAGACGACTACAGTCTGAATTAGTCACTTTGAAATTTATTCCAAAGATCAGAATCTACTTTTCTGTTGTAGAAATGCAAATAAAGGTCATAGAGAACACGGAATATAGATCGAGGTCAAAGGAGTGCTTGCATAATTGTAAATACACATATAGAATTCAAGTAAAGATTTCAATGTTCCAAACGATGGTGCTGCTTCGAATTGTTTTATTTTATATATATTACACGGTGCCAAAGTAACAATTTTCATTCAATATTACCAATATTGTGTGACGATCGATTACTTGTGCTATTATTTTTTTCATTATTTCCGATAATGAACCAGCTACACATTTAAAAATTTATGTTCGAGCAATTATAGCTTAAATTTTAAACACTTTTTTGAATTAGGTGCTTAAAAATTATTTCGAAAGAATTCGAATTATGTATACTTATTGTTTCTCGTTATAGTGCCATAAATGTTACATTATTTGTATAATGTATTTACTTTATTGTATAATTAATTGTATGGTTATTTCAATAAAATGCTTTTCTCTTTTATTCAAACAATATTTGCTTTAATATGTAGAAATATACAAATAGAGTATCTATAATAAAATTAATACTAAAATCCATCGTATATTTTATACATATTTTATATAACATACCTGTAAGAACAGCAATAATTTTATGCATAATACAAGTGAATATATATCTTGAACTTTATCAAAATTCATTTGTTATTGTCATTGTCTTGTTTAAAACGAGTATATTCCCAAGAAAGCAAGAAGTTTTCTCTTAAATCTATTTGTAAATTGTTTATGTTCAAACACTGAAAAATTGTTTAAGATAATTAATATTTTTACATGCTGAAGAGTAAACATAACAAATTATATAAATAAATAGAATTTAATTTGTCTTAAAAACAATCTTAATATATTTCATCATCATTTTAACTATAAAAATAAAAACTTACATTTTCTTTGATGTTATATTTAAATTGTATTTCATGATTATTTAAAGATACTCGTGAGATATTAGATATTATTCCCCATATTTGTATTTTATCCAAGATCATTTTTTCATGAAAGGAACTTTCTGTTGCTTTTGTAGTGGATAAAGTATTATTCTTGATGACAAAAACTGACCATACAAACTGTTTTTTTTCGAATGAATCTATAAAAATCGAACACATTAAAATGTTTATGTAAAATAAAAAATAATACTTAATAATACTTATAATACCTAATATACATATAAAAAAAAAAAAAGGATTTCACTACATTTGATTGCTTTTAGTATACTTACATATTATTATTTAGTATATTTAATATATTGCATATTATTTAGTTATATTACTTGACTTTAGTTTTTGCGATAAATATCTAAGATGATAAATTTAGGTGGAATTTTATAGTAGTTTATTATTAGTATTAATTAGAATTTGCGGGAATTGGAATTTAATATACTATTTAAAAAAAATGTAATTATGAGATTATTATTGTCAAATTGCTAACAAGATCCATTATAATGTTTCTCGTGAAATTAATAAAATCAATTAAGAGTGTTCTTCTCTATATCATAAAATTCCACATAAAATATGCTTGCTTTTTTTTATTATCAAAAAAAATTCAAAACTAAGCCAAACTATCCAATCTTCAACAATAATCAATACAAATATGTATTCTTTAAGATTGGACAGTTTAGCTTAATACCTTGTTCATACATCTTTAAAAGCGATTATAAGTATATATATAAAAGTTAGAAATCGATGAAGTGTATCGTTTTTATATAATTACCAAAACTAATTATTATATTAATGCAATATATACCTAAACTATCGCCATCGTCCCAATATAATTCTCCTTTTGCTTCATTCATATGATCTAATGTAATCAACAATTCGAAATTATTTTTTCTACTGTTTGTTGTAGTATTAGCTGGTTTTTGTGCTGGCAAAATAAATCCTCCGCGAATCATTAATGGTATAGTATCGAGTGGCGCATTCATAGTGTAATATTTACCCAATGCGAAAACAGATTCTTTTGTATAAAAATTATACCATAATCCACGTGGTAAATAAGCTGATATTTCTGTTTTGTCCTAATAATCAGTAGCGCAAAAATGAAATTACTTTTGAAATACAATATTTCAAAAAAGTAGTAACTTATTAATATGATCCTTAACTTACATCTTCTAAAACTGGAATTATCATCAAACAACTACCCCATAAGTATTGAGTGTCAATATCGTATGTAGCTGAATCATTTGAGTATCTAAAAAAATATTAAATTTTAAAATATGTAGTCTAAATAGGTGAAATATATGTAATCAAAGATATATTACTCAAAGAACAATGGTCGCGCAACAGTTTCTCCAAATTTATGTGCCCGGAAAAATAATGTATATAAATAAGGTAACAACCAGTAACGTATTGTAAGGGCACGCTTTGATGATTTTATTACTAAATCACCCATAGCGACTGGATCTTGTTCCTAAATGATATATGAATAAAATATAATATTAGATATATCATAACAAAAAAGTTAACTTTTTCCAAAAATTCGTAAATACAAACGATTGTATCGTCGGAATTATGATTACGAGAGAAAGGATAAAATGCACCAAGTTGCATCCAACGATTACATAATGTCGTTGTCGTATTTCCATCGAATCCACAAATGTCAGCACCAATCATAGGTATTTGATAAAAATTCATCAACAAAATTGCTGGGATACTCATCTTTAAATCATGCCTAATATATTAACGATTAATATATTGTATGAAATGCTAATATTCAATAAATATTTATAAAATAAACATTATGTATATTAATTACCATGAGGAATAAACATCCCCTGTCCAATGACCAGCATAGTGTCCATGACCCACCCAGGTTGAACGTGATATTATAAATGGTCTTTTTTGACGAATATTAGTCAATGCACTGTGTACATACATTATCAAAAGATATAGCATTGGCACATAAAAGTTCTGGCATATAAAAGTGTATGTTAAAAAATTTCTTTGCTTTTTTTATTTAAATCTTTAATGCAAAAAAAAGGACAACTCTAGAAAATAATAATACAGATTTTATAGTGAATTGATTTTATATTTTGGACTAATAAAGTTTATTAATTAATTTTTAAAATATTGTCTCAAATTTTTTTAGATTTTTTAATTAACCATAGTTAAAAAAGTAAAAAATGAAATTATATCATTATTATTTAAAATATGAAGTTTGTTTTTAATTATAGAAAAACAATTAAGGAATCTGACTATGAAATTGATTCCTACTATGCCTTTTTTGATTTCAGTTTCTTAAAATTTTTGCATACTACTAAATCGATAAATCGAATTGGTGTACGTTTTTTCTTTTAGTAAATTAAAAAAGAAAATGAATAACATATTAGCAAAATCGATTTAAATCTTTTTATGTGATTTAACTGTACATATTTCTACTTTACTTATACATAAATCTATTTGTATTTACTAGCATACTTACTAATTCATTGCTATGGCTTGACTTGTGCCATAAGTATTATGAAGATCATAATGAACGCCTAAATAATGTTTAGCATTCATACATAATGTTTTCTTTGCGAGTACATTACCAACAACATTAGGTATGTATTTCGGATAATCCAATTTATTTTTTGGACATCCATTTTTATATCCATCATAAAAATTAGATGGCTCGTTCATATCCTAGAGTAATAGATTGAAACACAAAGCAATGAATATTAATAATTTCAAATTATTTATTTTTACTAATAAAAAATATGTACGCACAATCCAAGCACCGTCGTATGTAAAATTTCTATACATATTGCTCATCATTTGAAGATAATAGTTCTGTGTTTTGGGATTTGTAAAATCGGGCCACACAGTAGAAACTAAATTCCAAACTTTGCCAATAAATGGCTGATTGGTTGCTCCATCTTTTATAAATATATCTTTTTTTATACCTTCATCATATGGCAAATAAGTCCCATTTTCTTCAGAACCAGATACTCCCGCATCAATCAATGGAATATAATGCATTCCTCTCTACAATATACAGAAACATTAAACATTGTATTAGCACACTTTTTACAAGTTACAATTTTTATAATTCCAAACCAACCGAATGTATTTCATTCACAAATTGTGGTAAATTTTTAAATTTATTTAAATTATATGTAAAATCATTATTTTTATCCATGTAATCTAAATCATTCCATTGAGTATCCTAAAAATAAATATGTATGAACCAAACCTGTTAAACTTGATTTATTACATATTTATTTAGAGAATATTTATTAATTTGTGTAAAACACGTTACAAATGGAATTCCTGCTGCTATAGTTCTATTCCATACTTGTTTTGTTTTTTCTAAGCTCCCATATCCGTATCTATACAGATGTGAAAAACATAATAAGAAAATAATAATTTTATTTCAGAATTATTTTACAATAAAATAATGTTTCTACCTGCATAAATGAAAACCAAGAGACCAATATGGAGGTAGAAATGGTTTGCCTACTATCTCAGAATATTGTTTTATGACATCTGCAGGGGTTGGACCCAAAAAAAAATACATATCAAAAATACCACCAATAGTTCGAAAGGTAATAGCAGGTGTTGGTTGTAATATAACATCTAAAAATAACTGATATTACGATACATGTTTCAATAAATTATATAAGAAAAACATTACTTTGAATGTTATTTACCCATTGCATTACTATTGAGAAATAGAAATCCATGAGATTTTCCGGAATTTTCAATTACAAAATAAAAAGGATGAGATCCATATAAATTTGCCTAAATTTTGAAAAATTCATATTTACAAATATATATTAAAAAGAATCAAACAGGAAAAAATATAATTACAAGAAATATTTTAGAAATCAATATACATTTTCTGTTGGTGGTTGATCTTTGTTAAATAATGTAAACAATTGCCAATTAGTATTTAATTTTAGCTTTGTTCTGTGTTCACCAATACCATAAATATTGTGACTTGGTAAAAGAGTACTTATTTGTAAAAACTGATCAGCAAATATGAAACCTCCTGCATTACTAGAATCAAATCTAGACATGAAAATTAGATAAATGTTAAAAATAAAATTATTTTATTATTAAAATTTCTAAATAATTAAAAATTCAAGTTTTTCTCAAATATTACTCACAACACTGTATCATCTGAAGTTCTGTGTATTTTAAAACCAGGTTTGGTATAATCAATGTCCAATTTATATTTTGCATTTATATCTTTTTGAGAAAATGGTTTAAAATCTGTTCTAAGAGGCCATGGAGGTTCATATCGTTTCTTAAGTGGATCACATATTTTTATACGTAAAATAGAATCGTCCACAGTGCTAGCTTCTATCTTAATGAGTGGCAAATCATTTTCATAAAATGAGTTTTTTATTCGTTTGAGAAATCCAGAAAAATTGTTTCCTTCTCTACTAAAATTTGTATACTTGTATATGCTCCAATTGCTTGGATAATAACAATATGGAATATTCAAAGGAACATGATTTATAACTGAGATATTTTTGTTGAAAGAATTCCAGCAACAACCTCTATTTTTACAAGATAATTCAGATGCTCCGTCTTCAGGATGACAATCAAAGCGTAATGCAGCAGGTACATTGTTACATTCCTCCTAATGAATAAAAATTATAAAATAAAAATCATTACAATAGTATTTACAGCATATAATATTATTATAACATTTAAAACTCACCTGCATTATTTTATGAAACTGAGGTACTGTATCATTAAATACTATATCATATTGAAAATTTTCTTTTTCAATTAATATCGCAGATTCATTATCATTCAGAGATATTAAATTTATCTTATATTCGACAGAAATACATTTGTTTTGTTGTATAACTATTATTGTTATGCCAAGCAAAATAACAAGCGCAGTAAATTTTAAAAAATTATATTTTAATATGTATTTAAAATACCTATTTAAAACTTTCTTTCTTTTTGGAAATTGTTCTGTATTTTTGACATTCATTTCAATTATTTTAATTGAAGATTCTGTTAAATATTTATCTGTTCAATAAAACTTGTATGTTTTATATTTTTTTTAGTTGGAGAGTTAATCTTAATTTCTTATAAAATAATAATTAATAATTTATAATAATTGATAAACTAAATTTATAATAATTGGAAACTAAAATTTATCCAACTGTGTAGTAAAAAATGATCTAAAATGTTGGAATAATTTTTACAAAGAGAGAACCGTGTACAAAATATAACTATATGTATATGTATATAACTATTTATATATATATATATATACACAAAAAAAGGAAACAAACTTTTTTATTTTTACATATTTATGTTCGCTTTAATACATTAAACACTATAATTATTTTCTTTTTAATATTGAACACTATATTATTTAATATTATTTTTAAAAATATTTTTTATTAAGTTTACCGTTTTATATTATTAGTATAAAAATTACATAGATAATCTTATTTATCACAAAGCTTTATTTTTGGCACAATTGATCTGTTTCAATAAACTAAAAATAGTTCTAGTAATTTTTTTGTCTACATTTTAAATTATTATATTTGAAATTATGTATTCAATATCTTTTTAATAATAAATAAATAGAGCTAATATAATATAACAATAAATAAACTCAATTACACACGTTAATGTTTTTATGAATTAAAATCATTCAAAGGTTATGGCATTGTGCCGTATTAAAGATTATGTGAAATCGAACTCGTCTTGACATCAGCTTATAAAAATACATTTAAAAGAATTAAGGTGACTTTGACTTTTTTGTTAAAAAGAAACATTTTTTGACAATTCTGATTCTTGCTAGTACGCAGCTAATGTAAAGTTAATTAACTTTTATTTGAAACATTTTTTAACTATATTGCAAAAACTGCTTGGCGAATAGTACACATCTTAGTGAACAGCATGTATAGCATATGTAAATATGTCCATAATGAAATGTCATTACTTATAACGTTCAATTCAGTAAATAATTTTCGGCGCGAAATCGCTAACTTCGTTCATATTTTTTTAAATTTTTGTTGCTGAATGTCAAAGTACAATACTTACGCAATGTGATATAAAAATGGTAAGAGAATCAGATAACATTGAAAATATGCGACACGAAAAAGCAACGTATGTCAGGTCTATCTATTAGTTAATCAATGTCTATATCATTCGTATTGGTGATGGTAACCTACAAATAGATTTGACAAATAAAAATAAATATGATAAATTAAAGTAAATTTTCATAAGGATCACTGGAATGTATTATTAACTTAATTTCTTTTTATTAAGTTACATATTACAAGTTCAATAAATTAGTTTTGTAATAAATTTTGGAGAACTTCCGTTAGGTTAGTTAACTTAAAATTAGGTTAACTTAATGAAAAAACAGACAAAATGCACGTAAAAATCTATCAGAAAATATTAAATTGCTACGGAAGGCAAATACATACCAATGTGTCTCGAGTTTTATTGAACCAATATTACGATGCGGCTCATAAAAGAAGAATGCGTTCGTCACGTTTATATTGGAGTGGACTTGGTATTTTAGTCATTGGTTTTACATATGCTTCAGTACCTTTATATAGAGTATTTTGTCAGGTAATTATTTATGTGTCACAATATTTTTTACATCTAAATTTATATATGAGAATAAATCTCTTTAATAGTCATACAATTATGGTGGGACAATATCAATCAATCATGATAGTAATAAAGTGCAGTCTATGAAACCTGTAAAGGATAAAGTTATAAAAGTAAAGTTTAATGCTGATATAGGAGCTACAATGCAATGGAACTTCAAACCACAACAGAATTTCGTACGTGTTATCCCTGGAGAAACTGCTTTAGCATTTTATACAGCAAAAAATCCATTAAATGTGCCAGTTACTGGTATATCTACTTATAATATAATACCATACGATGCTGCACAACATTTTAATAAAATTCAGTGTTTTTGTTTTGAGGAACAACGACTTAATCCTCATGAAGAAGTAGGTTTGATAAAATTTATTTTAACATCATTATACCATCATAATGAAGTTGTTTAATCATGTTATCTATATTGTTAAAGGTTGACATGCCAGTATTTTTTTACATTGATCCAGAGTTTATTAATGATCCCAAAATGCAAAATGTAGAAGAAATTGTACTTTCTTATACATTTTTTGAGGCCAAACAAGGAATGACATTTCCAAAACCAAATTTTATGAAAAACCAGTAATTTATGTAGTAAGTAACAAATGTAATAATAAATAAAATTGTAAAAAAAACAAATATACGTTCAGTACTTAATATATTGTTGAATATATTACATTGTCCAAATATTTTAGGAAAAGCAATTTGATGATATGTATAATATGTATAATAATGAGTATTTATTGGTAAACATTAAAATTTAAAAAGAACATTAATTGGATAAGCACGCCTAAGCCCAGTGATTTTATCATGATCAATGTGTATTGCGTCAACCTTCAGTTCAAGATCGTGCTCCAGCATTGTCCTAGTTTTTAATAACTTCTGATGCTGATTCTCTAATTTTTCCAATGTTCTGTGCATTCTTTCTATTTCATGATTTGTTTCATTAATTTCTTTTTGAAGACTGACAAAGTAAAATAAATTAAAGGAATATTAGAAGTTGCTTTTCTCTTTTTTTTCATATTACGTAATCATAATAGTAAATGCATTAAAACAAACCTTGTATGTACATAATCACGACAAAGCTCTATATCTGGGCGATACATTCTAGTTTCCAATCTGGTATATGCTACCTTCAGTATGTAGCTCTTATCTGTAATAGCTTTATATATCAATTCTAAATTTTTTTCAACATCAAAAATTTCTTGCTGTATCTAAAAATAATATGTTATATTATTATTTTAATATATGAAATTATACTATTATTATTTCATATATTATAATCGTAATTAAGAAATTAGAAATAAGAATTATTTCTACCATCTGTAAATGTTGTTGAAGTTTATTTTTAGCTTCAAGTAATTCAGAAGATCTATGTGCTAAAACATTGTTTGTATTATTCCATGCATCCCATATTTCTTGTGTAATTTTCATCATTAGAGCTTCTGCATTTGTTCTTAATTGATAAGATTTACTCCTCTCTGTTTGTGATTCTTTAATTATCTGATTAACAGCCTGTATCCATGTATCTTGTTCTATAAAGCTAATAAGGTAAATTAAATATTTATATATCTTTTTGTTTATTTATTTTATTTATTATTAAGATAAATAAATTTTGTATAAGTCAAATATGTTTTGAAAGTTTTATACATATACCATTTATCATATTTTTGAGTTCCAGTATAATATTGCAATCCATGGCTGTAATTATTCAATTGATGACACATCTTATCTATTTCTAATGCACTTTCTTTATTCTTTAGATCCAATTCTAAATGACATTGAGACATCCTGCAATCTCGTAGCTACAAGTAAAATCAGTTATTGATTAGTTCAAAATTGTTTAATTTAATATTACCTGATTCTTGCATTTATCCAAACAAGTCTCCAATTTTTTTCTATTTTGATTTAAGATTTCTATTTCCTTAAATAAGCATTTCTCTGATTCATCATGCACGCGTTCTGTATCTGTATAATGGAACAGAACAATATTACTATATCATAAACTAATAGTGATAATAATCAATAATATCATTATTAATTTTAACAATACAATTTGATTATTATTATATAAATTAATTTGTCATACCTTTTCTAGCTTCTCTATGATAAAGACATTCTTCTGCAATATGTAATGGACTTTCAATATCTTTAATAGCTTTATTTAAAATAGAACAACACTCTTGTAATCTTTCAATTTCTTGAAGTAATCTTTCTAATTCTGATATTAGTTCATTTCGCCAAAAACTAACATCATTTATTCTTTCACCAAGTCTTCTACTAGTATTGTGTTGTCCAGATCGCACTTTTTCTTCAGCATCTCTATTGCAATAATTATTTTTGTTATTACATATATAAAAATTGGATTAATTCTTTTTCTTTTATAAAATATTATTTATTGTAGTATAAAGTTGTATACCGGTAGTTTAAGGTACATATTTGTATAACACTGTAATATAAATTAATCGAAATCATAGCATAAGTATTTATTATATTGCGTTATACGTAGTACATATGTTTATTATATATATATTTTTTATTATGTGTTTTACATGCACTGTGCCAATCTTCTAAATATAGAAGTTATAGTAAAAGTTAAAAATATAGAATTTATAGTAAAAGTTAAAAATAAAAATATTTAAAAGAAGAACAGTATTTTATTAATATAGAATAGTAAAGAATAATTCTAATATACTCAATTGCTTAAAATAAATGATAAAAAATAAGAAATATTTAATATTGACATTGCATTTATTTTGTAAACGATACAAAAAATACTAATTTTTTATACACGTGGTCTGTATATTTTTGCAATATGATTTCGATCAATTTATGTCACATTGTCATACATAAAAATGTATACAAAGTCAAGTTAAATTTTATTTTAGGGGACTAAAAATCATTGTTTACTTTGTTTTGATAATATCAATGTTGAAATAAAAAATGCAAGTTTTAAAGCGAAAAATTCGCTATTTCAAAAATTATACTTATATAAAAATAAGTTTTTTAGCATAATTTTCAAATTAGTATGACACCATATGATCTACATACAATTTTACTGCGTTCTTTATTTTATATCGGTTGTTTTATCTTTTTAAACAAAAACAATGTTTATGAGAAGGATTTCTGATCATTTAAAAAACTGTAAGGGTTTATAACAATCGATTTATATAAACTCAAACATTGTCTTTAAAACATGATATTATTTTTTAATGAAACGCTACATCGGTAACACAAAAGTACATAATACAATAAACTGATTAAGAAATACTAAAATCGTTCATTTTTATAAAGTATAATTTTTGCACAAATGGATTCCTCGTCTTAAAAGTTGCATTTTTGGTCTTAACTCATTGAAATCTGCTCGATTATATATAAAAAAAAAAAAAATAAATAAATATTCAATAAAAAAAAAAATCATTTTCGATCCTCTAAAGTACAGTTTAGCCCAAGATCAATTCAATTCTTTTATAATGAATTCAGATATAACATTATATTTGTTATATGATTATTATATGTACATAGTATTTCTGTACTCGTGACATTAGAAGGTAATTCTACATGTAAAAAAAAAGAATAATATTTTTTAAAATATAACAATTCATTTTCGAGAAAATTGAGTTTGAAGAATTGTTATGTTATTTATATTTGAATTTAATGATTTGGATAGAAGTGAATAATTAACAGGAAGTTATTTTAAAGAGTGAAAATAAGTAAAAAATATGAAATAAAAAATTTTGATAATTATTTAGAAAACAAATGTTCGATCGATTTCGATGATTTTTAAATATATGTAATTGTTGCAAATTGAATCCAACATTTTGAACAATTTTTTCTTTTAATAAAATGCTACATATAATATTAAATTTTCTTCATATATATATATCGCTCTTTTGCGATATAAGTGACACAACTTGAAAAACGTAATTTTCGAGTTATTACTATAAAAATAGAAAAACAGTCCTTCATCAATTTTAAAAATCTTACTCATTGATTTTCTTAATTTAGCAGGCAAAAAGGAATTATGTTCTTCCTAATTCATGTATCGCATTGTTGCATTTTATAAATACATCTTATTATGAATTTTATCTCGACTATTATAAACAAATGGATACTGATAAGATAAGAAATATATTATTTTGAGTTATATTGCATTATGTCGTTTCTTTAACAATATCTAATTAAATATTAAAATAATATCTAATTTTGTTTAAAACTATATTTTCGGTTTTTCTGAAAAATAAAAAAATAAAATTTAAATTTTAAAAAATTAAAATTTTTTTTTTAATTTATGTCACTTTCATCACAAGGGAGCGATATGTGTATGTACATATCTGTGACACAACATAAGTATAACTGATATGTTCGCCGTTTGGTAATCTGTTTACATCAGTTTGTATTGTTTAGTATTTAAATATATCCAATTATTATTAATAAAAAGTATGATTTTTTATCGCGAAAAAATACATTTTTACATTTTAGGAAAAAACTAAAGAACTAAACGTGATTGTCGGGATGTTTCAAAGAAAAGCAACCAAGTTTTTTGATTCGTTTTTGAATCACTAGTTTTGTCTACCAGTAAGTTTCAATTACAATTTATATATTATATTTCATTAATTTTCTTATTTTTGAAGTTAGTAGACATGGTAAAAATCTTTGATTTAACCCATTGTCGAACTTCAAGAAATTACCAAATAGGCCATTGGAGAACTCGAATCACAAAACTATCTCTAGTTCGGAAATCGAGAACTTACCGCCAGTGTACCGCTGTAATAAAGTTTTATCGGTTATCTGAGTTTAGCCTGAATATGTACATATATATTGATTAAGTAAAAAGTAATTTCGTATTTTTCACAATTAGGTCATAATTATTTTAGTCACAATTATTATTTATTAAACAATGTATGCACCATCGATAACTTTTCGCCATCTTTCAGGCAATTTCAAAATTCCATGCTTCCAGAACCTCCCAGTTTTCTGAGAAAAAAATCCTTCAAGGTGCGTTTTGTAAGCCTCTAAAGAATTAAAATTTTTTTTCATTCAAGAAATTTTGTAAGGATCTGAATAAGTGAAAATCTGATAGTGCCAGATTGGATACAGTGGATAAGGCAAGACATTCCAGCCAAGCTATAATAATTTTTACCGGGTTACTAAAGATATATATATAAGAAGTCGAGCGTTATTTTGATGAAATATGATTCCATAATGATTAGCTAATCCTGAATGTTTTTCGTCGATTGTTTTCTTCAAACGATCAAGTTGTAAATAATACTTGCTAGAATTAATTGTTTGATTTTGCAAAAAAAGCTTATATCCTATCATAATATATGATTCCCTTAAAATTCTACCAAACAAATAGCATGATTTCCTTCGCATGGATTTTCTTCATAGATATTTTGCTTCAATGTGGTTTGCGGCATTTCACCTTGTTTACAATACAATCTTTCATGCCTTACATTATTGTAAATAATTTACTTCTCATCACTCGTTATCATCCGTTTTAAAAATGAAATATTTTCATTTCGTTTAAGCAATAAATCGCATATGGAGATGCAATTCATTAAATTTTTTTCACTTAAATCATGAGACAGTTAAATATGGTACTGAGACACGTAGCCAAGCCTATGCAAATGGTTACCATAGTCTTTTGAGTTAGATGTTTAGTGAGTTAGATGTTGAGTTAGTTGATTATCTCTGTCATTTCTCTTGCACAATTTTCAATTAAAATTTTAATCTGGTTATCATCAACCACCATCAATGTACTAAACATTCAAAATCTTCACATGTCGTGTCATCAGCCCGAAATTTCGCAAACGAATTTTGACATGTCCGCTTACGATATCTTTTCCATGTATAGCACATGTCTTTTTTCTTGGTTTGTATTGCATTTTTTCCTTTCCGGAAATGAAAAGTATTAAACACCGAAAAAACTGCTTGTTTTGCTCCATATTGACAATGTCGACAAATAAAAATTACTGAATATAATCTAACAAATAGCAGGCTAAAATACGCAGAAAAATATAATCTCTTCGAAAGTCACATATAGTGAAAATTGTTTTAAATACTTTCTGTAATGATATGTACCCGCGAAATGCGAAATTACTTTTTTCTCAACCCAGTTTCAACGAAAATCCCGTGCACAATGCAATAGGATTTGAACGACAATTTTATTGATTTAACTTCATCTACACTAAATTGATATCGATATTCTTTTAAAAGAGTTACATAATGCTTTTTCGGTATTGGTTTGGATTCGGTTAAATTAAATCAATTGTTGGTTAAATCTGGTTTCTTATAATTTCGTGTATAGTTGTGTATGAGATTTCGTTTCGTTTTTTGTGAATATATCGGAAATTAAGAGAGTCGATTACATGTAAAAGAAAGAGTTGTTTAAAATGTTCTATAATATACTCAATTCTGAATAACAAATTATAATCTATTTAGCTAGCGAGTAACATCATTACTGATATTATCATTACCAGACTGTGAATATTTACGTATTTATAGAAAATTTTAAAATGTCTAGAACTATATAAAATATTTATAACATGCTATTAGTTACAACATTTAGTGGATATTAATTATTTAAATTTTATTTTTTCAATGTATTCACAAAATTATAAATTTGCGGTGTAGTGTTTAACAACTTATCCACAGTCCAGTTATTATTAAATATTCGTAAAAATGATAATGTCAATTAACATGAATATAATTAAATTTTTGTTTAACAATAAAAATATTATATATTATTAAAAAAGAAAATAAATTTAAAAAGTTATATAATTGATATTGAATTTATTATTTAAAATGTTTGGAACGAATATTTATATTATGTTCTTTGTATTAGCACATTACGTAATTCAAATTTTTTGATTTGAATCAATATTTTGATCGTCATTTTCACGTAAAATTAATTATCCAAAATTAAAAATCATTGAAGGTCATTGAAATCCGTTTTCTAAATAATTACCAAATTAAGATACTAACTATGTTTCGTTTCCGAAAAAATTGAAATGTATCAAGTACACATATGTTAACTAATTCTTAACTAACTATATTCAATACTATTTTTTTGAAAATGAGTCATTGAATAAAAATTTGATTTGACATCTTTCAATTATTTTTGATAGTAAAATAATCTTTTGTTATATATTCTTGTCCACTTTAGAACGTTCAAATTTGATCTCGGAAACGAATTTTAAATCAAAAAAATATTAATTCTCTTTTTGACTTATTTCTAGTCAGACAGAGACAATCTATTTAGCGTTTACCTGATAATTCGTAAAGTTTCGTTTCTTACTTTTTCTGAAAGATATCTACATGAATTTGATTCATTATAATAGTTTATTTGTTTCTGAAACCATTCATTTGGTGTATATCGCATATTTAAAGCGGTTTCTGGAGCACTGCATTTATATTCCGTCACTAAATTAGGAAATTTTGATGAATTTATTGTATTTGGAACATCTAATCTATAATTAGATGTTGATCGTGTGAGTCTGCAAAAAATGATTGATAATTATGTAAAAGTATTTTTGTAAAGTAAGAAATGAAATAATGCGCATCTATCAAAAACTTACAAGGGTACAATTTTATGATTTCTAAATTCCATATTGGTATACCAAGATGAGTTATGACCGCCGTTAAAATTATTTGTATTGCATAATGTTATTGGTTTCATATAGGAGATTGGAATATTACTTGTCCTTGATAACAATTGCTATAAATTAGCGCAAATAAAACACATAACAAAAAAATCAAGTTAATTTATCATTTTATGTAATTCATAAGCTAACAGTAGTAAAATAAAGAGAAAATTTTAAATCTCACTTAAATTTTTTAACAGTGATAAATTTGACATATAATTTCAATTCTAGTATTAAATGCATAGTATCAAGAAGTCATTAAACATAAAAAAAAATCTAATAAAATATTTTTGAATACGTTTTAGGAGTTATTTTTTCATTGATTGTTTGAACAATTATCAGCCAAAGTTAGTCATTGTTCAATATGGCAGATATACCGAGTGATATATCTCAACGTAAGTATACATGCAATAAATTATATTTTACAAAATATTAATATATTATAATTTGATATTATTATTATAACATGTAATAAGTACTTTAATTAAATGCAATTATTTTTGATGTCTGTAATTCACAAATGAGGTTATGTTATATTGTGTTTTTAACTTCAACCACTTCAATGTTCAAAATATTATAAATTATATAAATTTAAAAAGTAAATAACATCTAACATAAGTAAATATTTGCTAAATTATTATAATTATTATTATAATTATAATAATCTTCACAGAAATTAAATGTAATAATTGTATATATAACTAAGATTATATCTCAGTTGTAAAACAAGTAATAATATTTAATAAGGACAAATAATAATATTTTTATAGATTGTCCTGGTACTGCAAGTAAAGATGCAGGAAAGGCATCTATATGTACAAATTGTCCAAATCAAATGATATGCGCATCTGGTATTAGTCAACAACCGGATCTTACTGCAGATCTTATTAAAAGAAAGCTTTCTACAGTTAAAAATAAATTATTGGTACTATCTGGTAAAGGTGGGGTTGGTAAAAGTACTATAACATCGTTAATATCCAGATCCTTAGCATCAAGTAATCCTGATATAAATGTATGTATTTTCTTAACATAGTTTTTAAAATTATATGAAATGATTATTTGAAACTTATATTTTATAAAATATTGTTAACTCATTTTTATAGAATATATTGCATAGAGTAGATGCCAATGTAGTTAATATTATGTTAAAAATACTTACTTTCTTTCTTGTTGAAAGAACATCCATATTGTTTTCTATGTATATATCAACGTAGTAATTTTCATCAACAGTTACAGTTTATGCTATACAGTTTATGCTAAAGAATAGTTTTCTGATTTTACGTATTTATATCATACATTGTATTATTTATATTATTATTTGTATTATTTATATCTTATTGATTTATATATTTATATCTTATTGATGTATATATTTAATATTTCTCTTTGATTATATCAAGTTTTCCATATTATATATTTGTTTCTTAAATATAAAAAAAAAATAAATTTATAGAACTTAATTTTAAGGTTCTTTAATTGAGGTAATTGATAATTTAAAACAATAAATTTTGTAGGTTGCAGTATTAGATATTGATATTTGTGGACCATCTCAACCTAGAGTATTAGGTGTAATAGGAGAACAAGTTCATCAAAGCGGATCAGGATGGTCTCCAGTGGTATGTTTTTATATGCAGGAGTAAATCTAGTGTACATTGCTATATTTAAGTAATGCTATATAACGTATTTATATGGGCTATAATTTTGATTCAAATAAAGTTTTGATTCAAATAAATTACTTAGAACGTTTATATATATTAATGCACAACTTTTTTCACAAGCATTAGGAAATACAATGGCACCTTTTTTTAATGAAATTCTATAATGTTTTTTACATAAATTGATTTTTCATATCATTTTACATATAAAAGACACATGAAAAACACATTTAAAATATAAAAACACAAATTCAACATATTTTGAAATATTTTATTGGAAGAAATACATGTACTATACTATATGTACAAGTTGTTTAAAAAAATCAAAAGCATATAATACTCATAAAAATAAATAAAAATGTTAATAAATGTGAATCCAAATATTATTAACTTTAGAACTATATTAAATTATGCTTACCATAAGTCTATATATAAAATTAACCCGGGATTACCCACGTGGGGGTCTAATGCCGGGATGCACTAGACCCCCAGGTGGGTAATCCCGGATTAAGTAATAAAATTTATTTATATAAACATTAAATAAAATTTTATTATTTTTCTGTTTTAGTATATAGAAGATAATTTGTCATTAATGTCTATTGGATTTTTACTTGCAAATCCTAGTGATGCAGTAATATGGAGAGGACCCAAAAAAACTGGTATTTATTACAATTTAAAGATACACTTACTCGCTTTAATATTCAGAATTATTATTATTATTATTATCACCATCATCATCGTCATCAAATCATTAAAATATTCATTCAGTATATTTATTAAAATGTTCATAGATTTTTATTATATAATTATTATAAATAAAAGGAGTATTACAATTGTTTCATTGCTGTAATATATAATTATATAAGAAAATTTTTAACAATAAAACGATATCTCTTGTTTTGTAAAACATTTGAACAGAAAATATATTCTTCGCTCAAGTAATTTCAAGTAATGTTCTAGTACAATATCTCAAATGTAAATCTCATGTAAATCTCAATGACATTACAACATTGCGATTTTCTTTAAGACAAAAATTTTAAATTAACTATCTTACTTTAACTTTAAATTGACTACTTTAAAACAACATTAAATTGATTATCCAAAATGCAACAAAAAGGAAAAGATATTTAATAAATGTCCTTTTTAATATAATTACAAAAAACCTATATTAGCAGAATTATTACATTTAAAAAAAAGTATTGTCATAGACATTGTTACAAAAAATGGATCATATTGAATTTGAATTTCAAAAAGAATATCAATATGTTCTTTCGATTCCAGATAAAAAAAGGAAAATTATAGAAAATTCACAATTAAAATTGCTGTCTAATTTTATAATCATATCAGAAATCTGACAAAATAGTAAACTATTGGAAGATTATTTAAAGAATGTGATTTCAGTGATTGTGCAAGAAAAATGTATATGAATGCAACAAATAATTGAACTTTGTGAAAAAGAATAAAAAGAAAAAAAATGATGGATGAATGTAATTTTTGTTGATGAGTAAATATAATATTTTTGTCTCAGATAGAAGAGGGTAGAGTATGAAAAAAAAAAATTAATATGAAAAATTTTTTAAATAAAAATAATGAACTAGTAAAAATTTGTGAAAGTTCAAATTTTATCAAGACAATGACTTAAAATATAAATTTCTATATTATACAAGAATATTTATACAGTTGCCTCAAAATATATTTATTCCTACAATTGTTTGACTTGAAATTGTCTGATTATTGTCAGTATATAATTATATACTTGTCAGACAATTATATTATATTATATATAATTGTCTGAAAATGTAAAAAAAACTCAAACATATTCAAGAACAAAATGAAAAAATCGCTTAAAAGATAAATGGAATAACATTAATTTGAAGTATTAAAAAAAAAATTATTTCAAATATGATTATTCGATAAAATATTAAAGTTACGATTAATTTGAAGAAATATCTATATAATGTTAAATTTTATATTTCAAACTGTGCGACCTGTATGAAAAATTGGCGAGAGATATTTTTAATAAGTTAACAGATATATATATGTGTGTGTATATATGTATGTGTATATATATAGAGATAGATAGATAAACCTGATGCACAGTTACATACGGTTGATAGGATTAGAACAAGAATAAATTTGATGCAAAATTAGAGAGTCGTAAGGGAAATGAATTTGAAATCGGGAAGTTATTAAATTGGATTTTTTTTTAGAACAGAAATAGTAAATAAACTGATGCGAAGTCAGTATGTTGCTGAAACTATCAATATAGATCTCGTAACTTTGATTAATAAAAATCAACACAATTCAAGCAATAAAATCGTGTTATAATGTTCAACTAAGTTTATATAAAAATGCTTAATTAAATGATATGTTTCGAAATAATTAAATTTGTATTTATACAAGAACATAGAGTACGTATTATAGTTACAGTAAAAGATTATTACAAATTATTTATTCGACACATTAATCGTTCTATTCGACGAGGTAAAAACACAAATAGAAGTTAAAAATACAAATTTCAAGTTTAGAAATCCATTAGTTTAAAAGTTCTATTTATATAAAAATCAGCTATAAAAATCAATTGAATGAATATTTTAATAACTTATTAAATTATACATCAATAAATTTAAAAGTATTTTGATATCCGAATGTTGAAGTGAAATGTTAAACTATATATTCTATTTCATTTTATTATTTCTAGGAATGATTAAACAATTTTTATCAGAAGTAGATTGGGGGGCATTGGATTACCTTATTTTAGATACCCCTCCTGGTACATCAGATGAGCATTTATCAGCAACGTCATATCTTAAACATGCTGGCATTACAGGAGTAATAATAATAACAACTCCACAGCAGGTTGCTTTATTAGATGTGAGAAAAGAAATTGATTTTTGCAGAAAAGTAAATATACCAATTTTAGGTGTTATTGAAAATATGAGTATTTTTGTGTGTCCTAACTGTAATGTAAGTATGATGATGATGTTAATTTATTAGGTAATATTATTGTAAATTATTATATTTATGAACGTCTTTTTTTATGTAGAATTCTGTAGAAATATTTCCAGCATTAACAGGTGGTGGTTGTGTAATGGCTAAAGAATTGAACGTAGAATTTTTGGGTTCTCTACCATTGGATCCACTTTTAGCTAAATGCTGCGATGAGGGAAAAAACTTTTTAACAGAAATTCCAGAATCACCAACTATTTTGACATTACAAACAATTGTTCAAAGTAAGTTTTCTCAAATGCAAATGAAATACTACATATTTATATAATTAATTAAATATTTTAAATAATTAATTTTTCAATCTATTTCAGAAATTATTGATCGATGTGAAAAAATAAAACATCCTTCTGAGATTGATACAACTTAAGAGAAAAAATGTAATTCTTTAGAAAAAATGTATGTATATTAAAATTGTATAAAAAAGTATAAAATATTGTTTTCTTTTATATCTTAAGAATATAAATATTATGTATTATATAAATTCAATAAACAACTCTTTCCTTTAGTATTTTATATATAAATATAATAAATATTAATATATAAGTTGACATATATATGTGATGATATTTTTAAAATTATAAATATATTTGTAATATATTTATACATAACACAAAATACAGTATAACTTAAAAATTTTTTTAGATGTTATTTTAAATTAATTTTATATTTTATTAATTTTTATTAGTAATTTAATATGAGAATAAATTACTAATAATAATATTTAATAATAATAATGAAATTTAGAGAAATAATTATATATAAGATGTGTTATTTTAATTCATCTACGCAACTTTCATTATTCAATCAAATTTCATTATTCAAAAAAAATGTGTAAAATAAAATTTGTTCTGCTTCGGGAGAGATATCTTATGATGACCTTAGATATGGCGTTTCCGAGATCTTAAGGTTACATTCATTTGTTTGGAAATGGAATCGTATATTTTTTTATGCATCTCTATAAAAAAATATTAATCTATATGCGTCAAAAAATTATTAGTTTACTAGATTTTTTAATTATCTGTTTTTTTAGAGTGTCAAAGAAAGACAATATGGATTCTAGGATCTGGTTATATTTGGATTACATACAAACAGTACGAGATTTATATAATAATAATTTGTTTTATTTACTAAATATAATAAACATTCTAGATTAAATATTTTATATACTTTTGCATAGTATGGATTGTATAGATCGTATGCAGTTTTGTAATTTTCAATTTCTCAAAAATATATAGAAATCCGCAGTCTATTTGTGTACACTTGACTGATCTCCAATCAATGTCTCGTCTGATTTTATGTCTATAGTCAAAGTTCAAAAAGTATAGATTAAATTAAAATGACAAATCATTTATATTATATTTACAATTTATAACTGCAATGTCTGTATAATGGGATAATAGGATAATTTCCCAAATCTAATTGCATCACGTGAGATTTACTTATTATCTATAAACGCTGAAAGTATTCATTCAATTTCGTTGGCGTGGATTACTGTGGATTAGGGATATGCTGATTGAATCGGGTTGGATAATTTTGGAATAATTTGCACATAATACATAAATACGTTTCAGGCGAGGTATATGAATAGACATTACATCTTACGTTTGTAGTTCAGGTACCTATAATCTCAGAATTCGTAATTCGATTCAGGACATGATTTTTTAGATTTACTATACATTTTTAAGGTAATTGTGCATAAAAGGGTACACTTTATTGATTTGATGAAATTTAAATATGTTATAAAACTCAACATTTTGAGTAACTTTTTCTTATACATATAACCGTCGCTCGGCTTCAGTTTCCAAGATATTTGCGAAAAACTATTGCTGCTACTACTACAATGAATAATGCCTACGTGTGTGTGGCAGCGTGTGTGTATATTTAAAAGTCGTTAATGGATAATGCAGCTCTTCGGTACCACATCACTTAACACGCAATTTTTCTTTCTGTATTGCATTATTTCAATACAGATATTGCATTATTTCATCATATGGATAACATATATTTTTGCTGCTGTTACTGACAATTGATGACTCACACGTAAAAATGAAATACTTTGCTTTGCACGTTCAGGGAGAAAGTTTTAGATGAATGAATTGATGAATTTTTTTGAAATACAAGTAGGTTGTGTTTGAATACATGGTTTTCATAAATAAATATTCAAATGTATTGACATTTATTTGAAAAAGGTATTAAAAAATGATAAAAAATACGTTTTTTCAAATATATTGTTTAAACAAATGGTATATTACTATTAAATTCGCCGTTAAAAAATACTAATTTCATCAATTTAGACAATAACTGTACATTTAGTAATTTCCGAGATATTTGTCGAAATAGATTCCGAAGTCCTAACTTGGAGGGTAGTTTACACTCTACATGGACGATTACCGACAAAAAAAATATTCGTGCCAAATATTTTTTCAAAAACCACATTTTAAGCTAAATTTTATCAAAATCGGTGATTGATACTTTGGTATGTATCCCTATAAGATATATATATATATATATATATATATATATATATATATATATATATATATAGTATCATAAAAATATAATAAATATAATATAATATCATAAAAATATAATAAATATAATAAATTTAATATAATATCATAAAAATATAATAAATATAATAAATATAACATATCATAAAAATATAATAAATATAATAAATATAACATATCATAAAAATATAATAAATATAATAAATATAATATAATATCATAAAAATATAATAAATATAATATTTAAGTTATATATATATAATGAGTTTAGAAAATAGAGTGAGAGCAACATAGTATCAGCAAACGAAAAATAACTATATAGAATAGAAGTGTGTCAAGGTTTGAAAGCTTGAAAAAGATTTCTACTAGAAAAGTAAAGAATATCCAAATAAAATGAGAATTTTCTTTATTTACTATTAGAAAAATCTTTTCCAAATTCTACTTTTAAAAATGAAACAAAAACTCTCCAAATTTCTTTTTCATCACCGATATTCAGAATTTCGTTAATTTAAGATTTATAACAAATCTCTCTATAGTTGAGCTGCTTCGTAGAGATATTCGCCTTAGTATCCACACAATATCAATCGATGTACATGTAGGTTTCTGATTGATTAACTAGCTCGTCACGTTTTCATCAGACAGACACGTCTAATGAACGTAATATGCATAAATAATGATCATTAGTAGTGTATTAATATCAGTTCGTTACCGGAGCTCATTACGACAAAATAATGATAATAAATTAATTAATTTAAATTCTAGTAATAATAACAACAAAGAGTCATGTAAATGATAAAATTATATGAAAAAGATGGAGTTAATCATAAATATGAATCAATCGTGGCTTGAATAAGTTTTATAGAACCATTTCATGAAAAATTTAAATTTAAAGTTTACGAAACGCGCATTTTTTTTCCAAAATTAGCCCTCCATAATTGTATTTGAAGTATTTGCTGCATAAGATATGTATTATATAGTATATTAAAAAGAAAAAAAAAAAAATAGAAAATGATTGATTTAGAGATACGATTTTGTCTTGTACTGGATGCTCACAGTAGTATACAGTATTCTAGTATAGTAAATAGTATAGTAAATAGAGTTATCACAGAGTTATAATAGTATAGTTAATATAGAGTTATCATAGAGTTATAATAGTATAGTTAATAGAGTATAGTATTCTAGTATAGTAAATAGAAACCACCATTATACTAATATATTACAAATAAAATAGTAATAGCAAATGTAAATCACAGTAGTGATAATAACTTAAAAGAAAGAATAGCAGTAAATAAAAGTACAACAATAGTATTAAATAAAAATCATAATATTAAGTAAGCAGTATAATATGAATAAAAGATAGTTTCCATTGTTGTAATAACAAATAGTAAAATCATAGTCGTGACTGAGTACCAAGGGTACCAATTAGGATAACTATATTAGAATAATTATAGAGCAATACATGTTAACAAAATCCAACAGTAAAATAGCAGCGATGAAAGGAAATTTAATTAATAGCAATAAATAATTATTAGAATAGTAATAATAAAAGAAACTACATTAAAAATAAAAACTAACAAATACTAAATAAGAACTAACAAATAAAACTATACTAAATAAAAACAAACAAATAAAACTGTACTAAATAAAAACTAACAAATAAACACCAATAATAACAATTATATTAGCAGCACGAAACCGCAAATAAGTACCACAATTACAACTCCAATGAATAAAATTGAATAACAATGGAAAACAAAAGCTGATATAGAGTTATAGAGCAATAGAGTTACAGTATAAAAGTATAACAGTAGCAAATATAACAGAGGTAAACAGTGGCAGCAGTGATAAGAAACAAAAGTCAATTGTCGCAAGAGATTGAAAGGGCTGCAACTCAGAACGAAGAAAAAAAGAGAAAAAGGAGAAAGAAGAAAGAAAAATGGACAAAAAATTCGTGGTGCACGTACCTGTATGAGAGTCGGACGCCGATAGGTAAACGAGGCAGCAAGTCGTTAGGAGCCGAAGGAGCCACATGACACTACACATGATTGCTCGACGCGTGGCTCCTCCCTTCCTTATCTGTCACCGCTGCTGCGGCCCGCGTACCGCTGCCTCGACATTCCTGTCATCTGAAACACACGACCGGGAGGATATCATATAGCGGTAGTTCCACAGCCTGCATCCGTGCCAGCCGAACTTATCTCCAAGTCGCATTCGACTGCCGCCGTTCTACTCGCGTAGATTGATTAACTTGGCGGGAGGAGATCCGGCGAGACGTGTAATCGCGAGCCCGGCCTGAGTTCAAGCACGATCATCGGTTCGAATCGAATTTGGACTGGATCCTCGGGCAGAATGCTTAAAAGGTGGATGACGAGGGCGCGGAATTGGGAATTGTTGGGTGTGGAAATTAGTAATTCGTCAGCTCGCCTGATTATTATACGCTGGTTTGGCAGCGCTCGCGAAAATTCGTTTTCAACTGTATTTCGCTGTGTATGATTGAAGTATCCGTGATTGTTCGTTGATCGTTTTCAAAAACGTTGTGAATCGTTGGGAATTGTGTTGGCAATTTTTTTGGTTCATTTCATTTGCAACGATCTGATATATTAAACAGTATGAATATGTACTATAATATGTACCATGTTATATGTACTATAATGTGTACTATAATGTTATATGTATTATAATATGTACTATAATGTTATATGTACTATAATCTGTACTATACTGTTATATGTACTATAATCTGTACTATACTGTTATATGTACTATAATGTGTACTATAATATGTACTATAATCTGTACTATAATGTTATAAGTTAGTATAAATTATATATTTATATAATGAATGCAATATAATCTGATATATTACACCGTCAAGCTGTTTCTCTTGCGATAGTAAAGAATGACGTGTAAATAGGATAAGTTTCCAAAAACCAGATATTTTTAGCGTGTAAATGATAATAGATCTATAATAGATATTACGTTTTTTTGAAAATAAAACATAATCTATATAACGTACACAACCTGCATAACCTATGTAATTTATTTAACCTGTATAACCTACATAACCTATGTAATTGACATAACCTGCATAACCTACATAACCTATATAATTTACACACCCTACATAATTTAAATAACTTACATAACCTACGTAACTTAAATAACTTACATAACCTATATAACCTACATAATTTAAATAACTTACATAACCTATATAACCTACATAACTTAAATAACTTACATAACCTATATAACCTACATAATTTAAATAACTTACATAACCTACATAACTTAAATAACTTACATAACCTGTATAAGCTACATAACCTACATCATTCTTAAAAATAAAGTGAATCCGCATCGTTCTCTGCTGTGATAGAAACGACAGAACTTTGTCAGATAAAAATGTTCAGGCAGTAATATTTATAATAATTTTTCAAATGCATCGGTATCATTAATAACATTCATTATACTTTCTGTGACGGAACAAAGTAAGAAACAGACGATGTTCGAACAATCAAAATGAATGAAGATCTATTACATATATATTGTTTTATATATCTATTTGTAATACGAAGTTTATAAATTATTCTGTATATCTATTTTGTGCAAATTGCGAAATTGCTATTACTATAATTGCAAGATTATTACTATTAGATGCCTCTCAATGCTTCATCTCAATTTTCAATTCTCAATTCTCGCCGAGCGCGGAATGTCTCGATCACGCAAAATAAAATTGACGAAATGACACAAAGCGACTTTCGACACATTTTGACAAAAGTTGCAAAAATGGCGTCTCAGCAGTGCAGAGAACGCCATTCGACAGAGAAAACTATACGCAGTGAGCGTGGAGGAGGTTCGATGCCGTAGTATAATTATATAATGTTTCATTCCAGGGAACGCGGAACAGTCGCGGATGGCCCGCGCTAATACGAAAGTATCGCGGACTCTTGCGGGTATTAACTTCTGAAACTTTCCCACGGGCAGCGTGCGCGGATTTTAATTAAAGTATAATTAAGCAGCATCCTCGGACGAGTCGAAGCACGTGGGAGGAGTGGGGGGGAGAAAGGAGGAATTCACTGAACGAAACAAAGAATCGAAGCGGCGCTCTTTGTTCTAGTTGGTCGTAATCTCGAAAACCGACGGGAACACGGCGAAACTTTCGCGATACCTGTGGCCACGGCTGTTTGAGGAACTTTTAACGCAATTAGCGCGTGCTTACCTTTAATCAATCGAAGCAACGCAAGCACGTACTGCGACTACCAAGCGCTCTTTGCTGAAATTCTCACCGATCTGATCCGCGTTGCGAGTTTATTATTATAATTCACGTTGCGAGCGAAAGTTCTGGCGAGTTTTTACGAGCGATTGCGTTAACTGCAATTAAATATCAAAACTTGAAGTGAAATTCATTATCTCGAATGCCAAAACCGCGGCGATGATAGTTGACACGCAACTCGTGGAAATCGTATCAAATTATGGACGAGAAAAGTAAAGTTTTCAGTTTAATTTGTGAACGAATAAAATATAGAACTTTTATTCGAAGAAATTAAAAAAATTGTAAGGAACGAAATTTATTATTATCGTTACTATTATATATATATTAATTTTTATTGCATTATTATTATTTTTATAATAATTTTTTTACTAATTGTAATTTATCTTAAAATGTTAAAACATCTCGAAAAAGTAAACGTATTCAAAATTTTAAGTAGAAATCAGATATCGTTTTTTGTTAAATTAAATTATAATTAACTATTGAGATGTTATAAATTACAATTAATTATTGAGATCTTGTTGACTGACTGTTTGAATGTACATATACTATGTATATAAAGAATTCTCAAGCACATGTTCTTGCATTTACTCATTGCTTTTGTCAAATTTTTGCATTCTAAAAATATAGTATATTTTCTTACTACTAGTCTTCAAACTCAAAGTCATATTAAGAATCATCACCAATGTCACAAAGAACATGATATTAATATTACCTTTGTCCATCATTGTGCGTACTTTAAATTTAGTATCTAAGATAGATAATCATTTAAAACACGCGGGAGAAAATAGTAATCAGATTTTGTTTTTTATTAAATTAAATTATAATTAACTAGTGAGATGTTATAAATTACAATTAATTATTGAGATCTTGTTGACTGACTGTTTGAACTATATATACTATGTACATAAAGAATTCCCAAGAGTATTATTCTCAAGCATGTATTTTTGCATTTACTCGTTGCTTTTGTCAAATTTTTGCATTCTAAAAATATAGTACATTTTCTTACTACTACTAGTCTTCAAACTCAAAGTCATATTAAGAATCATCACCAATGTCACAAAGAACATGATATTAATATTACCTTTGTCCATCATTGTGCGTACTTTGAATTTAGTATCTAAGATAGATAATCATTTAAAACACGCGGGAGAAAATAGTAATCAGATTTCGTTTTTTATTAAATTAAATTATAATTAACTAGTGAGATGTTATAAATTACAATTAATTATTGAGATCTTGTTGACTGACTGTTTGAACTATATATACTATGTACATAAAGAATTCCCAAGAGTATTATTCTCAAGCATGTATTTTTGCATTTACTCATTGCTTTTGTCAAATTTTTGCGTTCTAAAAATATAGTACATTTTCTTACTACTACTAGTCTTCAAACTCAAAGTCATATTAAGAATCATCACCAATGTCACAAAGAACATGATATTAATATTACCTTTGTCCATCATTGTGCGTACTTTAAATTTAGTATCTAAGATAGATAATCATTTAAAACACACCGGAGAAAATAGTAATCAGATTTCGTTTTTTATTAAATTAAATTATAATTAACTAGTGAGATGTTATAAATTACAATTAATTATTGAGATCTTGTTGACTGACTGTTTGAACTATATATACTATGTGCATAAAGAATTGTCAAGAGTATTATTCTCAAGCATATATTTTTGCATTTACTCGTTGCTATTGTCAAATTTTTGCGTTTTAAAAATATAGTACATTTTCTTACTACTACTAGTCTTCAAACTCAAAGTCATATTAAGAATCATCACCAATGTCACAAAGAACATGATATTAATATTACCTTTGTCCATCATTGTGCGTACTTTAAATTTAGTATCTAAGATAGATAATCATTTAAAACACACCGGAGAAAATAGTAATCAGATTTCGTTTTTTATTAAATTAAATTATAATTAACTAGTGAGATGTTATAAATTACAATTAATTATTGAGATCTTGTTGACTGACTGTTTGAACTATATATACTATGTACATAAAGAATTCCCAAGAGTATTATTCTCAAGCATGTATTTTTGCATTTACTCATTGCTTTTGTCAAATTTTTGCATTCTAAAAATATAGTACATTTTCTTACTATTACTAGTCTTCAAACTCAAAGTCATATTAAGAATCATCACCAATGTCACAAAGAACATGATATTAATATTACCTTTGTCCATCATTGTGCGTACTTTGAATTTAGTATCTAAGATAGATAATCATTTGAAACATGCGGGAGAAAATAATTTATGCCAATATAATTATCCACTCGTAAATCTCGGCAAAAAAAAAAAAGAAAAAAGAAAAAAACGGAAGAAAATCGAGATTTTCGCCATCAGCAATCGCTGAGTCGTCAATGTCTACGGTGCGGTTGGAACAAAAAATCCGCAGACCGTACCGCCACACGATCATTATCCGTTTAAGGTTTCAACGACGCAAGCGAAATCAGTGCCGCGAGAACACAGGTGAACCTGTCACGCAGCCTTCCACTGACTTTCAACCCTCACGTGCCCTTTCGTTTTTCACGTCGCTTCCTCTGATCTTTCAGGCCTTCCGTCGTCGCTCGAAACGAAACGATTCCAGTCACGAACGAGCTTCTTATCTACACCACGACCGTGTGCCACTTGAATGAAAGTTGCGGTTCGGTAAACACGTATGAGACACGCAATTGAACAACGTGTCTGTCTTTTGAAATTTCTGTAGCGAGATTTGACAATCAATTGATTGATTATGTATTTGAGAACACATAATCGAAATCGCAAGTCTGAAAATATACGCAGAGACATACAATCCATTGTATTTATTAATTTTCCATTTGCTCATTTATTAAACACATCTTGAATACGTTCCAAAGGTTATATTGACTCTCAAGTGAAATTTGAACGCATATAACACGCACGATATGGTCATAAAAAGTGTTCAGATAATTTTGAGCGAGCAACTCGTACTAGTATACTTCGCACGATACAGTGTGTTGTTTCTTTTCATGTCAGCCAGCGGACAGGGATTTCTTTTATCGGCCACGCGATAGAGAGACGCTCTCCGACTGCGAGCATTCGAGACATTTAGCTTTGACGTTCGATTCGGATATCCTAATCGAATTTTCCGAGCCGAGTTCCGAGCAAACTTCCCCGCTCCCACGTGACAGGAACGAACGTCGTGAGAAAATTCTAACGCAATCAGGAGGGCGGTGAGTTTGCAAGAGATTTTAGTTGAGAGTGTCCTGCCAGAGAAACTCTGTCGGTGTAACTGTGGCGTTTAAATCTCAACCAGTGAAGTCTGGAATCTGCTATGTGTCGCTCATTGATTAGAATTTTTTAGTAATTGAAATTTTTCTGGTTGAAAATAATATTATATTGTATTATATTGTACAGTTAGTCATCAATAAATGTATAATAAATTTAATATCAATAAATATATAGTAACAATTTAATATCAATAAATGTATAATATTACACATTGTATTTACTAATGTACTATATTTGATATTATGATAATATTAAATATAATAGTAATATACTATAAATATATAAGTATACTATAAATATAAAACTAGTGATATAGATCAAAATAATATACAATATCATGATATTGTTATTTATAATGTTACATTTAATGCTGATAATATTAATATACATAATATTAATAAATGTATATAATATTATATATGGTATTTAATTCATATTTATATATGAATATTTATATATTCATATTTATTATAATATTATGATACACACGTATACATACATGACGTATGTACATGTATAAATATTAATACAATAGATTAAAATAGTATGAAATAAATTATATATCATTACTTCTAATATTCTTATAATATAATAATATTATATTATAAATATAATATAAAATATTATAATATTCTTAATCACATAATAACATTATATCATAATAATATTATATATATAATCTTATAATAATATTATATTATAAATATAATATAAAATATTACATATAATATTCTTATAACATAATAATATTATATTATAACTATAATATAAAATATTATAATATTCTTATAACATAATAATATTATATCATAAATATAATATAAAATATTACTTATAATATTCTTATAATACAATAATATTATATTATAATGATAACATAAAATATTACTTATAATATAATATTATATCATATTTGATTTATATTGTCACAATATCATTCATTTTATTTTCATTGCTATTTTTCAATTCACGTCACGTTGTTATTATTACTTGTCTACAACAAGTTATATTCATCCGATTTGAAATGAGCTTCGAACTGAGCTCCAAAGTTTTCGACGACGATACTAGCAGAGAACGTTTGTACAAGAAGCTAATAGTCGATGAATTCAAAGACAAAGTTGCCTTTTATACGATAAATTGGGTTCAGTTAAATATCGATTGCCTTCCATTCAAAAGATAATCGCCATTTCGTTTAAAGCCGTAGTAGAGCTACAGTATTTAGGGAATCAAATTAAACGATGCATAGGGATCTATTCCATTTAACTTCCTCTCGTTGTTTTAACGTGTGTTGTACAAAACACACACACACACACACACACACACACACACACACACACACACGCACACACACATATATTGGCATTACAGACAGTTTACAACTATTTTGTAACCATTTCTGTTCGATCAAGAGAATTCTCTGCTCAGAAGCAGAAAGGAAACAATCATCACAACTTGATAATTTATTTTTATTTATTACTTGTGCCTCGTGATAGTAATTTTTCTTACCCCTGCGTGACGATGATAATGACAATTTTATTTGAATATTAAAAAATAATAATGGACATTATAACGAAATAATATTAAAAAATAATTAAATTTGAAGAATTTAATTTTTTTTTAATTTGAAGAATTTAATTTAAAGAATTAAATTTGTAGCTGTGCGTGTTGTATTCCGTTTCACGTTATTCGCGAAGATTTCATAAATTAGAAGTTTTCCATTTTTGGCCAGAGATACGCTAAAGCGAAAAGAACGACAGCACACAGCCACGAAGCTCTATTAATTTCAAGGGGAAGATATTTTTGCCTCGTGCGGGGACGATGCGATGTCGGGGACCAACATACCGTCGAAATTTATTTGTCTGTAGCCTTAAGTCGTCCCTTTCTTCCTCCCTCTTTTTCAACCATTCGACGATGTTTCACTTCTACCCCTGATCCCTGCCAGCGACCCTTACACGCACGCACACACACATATATCTCACAGTTACACTGTTGCTAAAAAAGTAATCTGGATACTTGCTATTTTTAGGAAATCTGTGATAAATGCAATAATGTGTCATTTACACTTCAATAACATTAAATTCAATTAGAATTTTTAAGTGAATTTTCATTTTTTCAACTTGTCTTAGTTGACACGGTAAATAAAAATTAATATAAAATATGAAATATAAAATATAAATTATAAAATATAAAATATAAAATATAAAATATAAAATATAAAATATAAAATATAAATTATAAAATATAAAATATAAATTATAAAATATAAAGTATAAAGTATAAAGTATAAAGTATAAAGTATAAAGTATAAAGTATAAAGTATAAAATATAAAATATAATAATATGTAATATAATATAAAATATAAAATATAATAATATGTAATATAATATAAAATATAAAATATAATAATATGTAATATAATATAAAATATAAAATATAATAATATGTAATATAATATAAAATATAAAATATAATAATATGTAATATAATATAAAATATAAAATACAATAATATGTAATATAATATAAAATATAGAATATAATAATATGTAATATAATATAAAATAGTACAAAAATTAATATTGATGAAAAGATTGAAAATTCTTTTTTTAAATAGAAAATGTACTAAATTTCTGTTCAATTACGTATGAATTATTTTCTGGTACGAATATTCAATCTTGTATAGTGATTTTACGCATTTTACAAAGAAAATGTATCAAATCGACGAGGATCAAACTTTCGAATGAATTTTTAATAAATTGTAACGAGTCTCAACAAATTTCGTCAAATCACCCGACGACACAAACTCTAGATAATAATTAAAGTATTATACTGATCAATATGTGAAGGAAAACATGTTTAAGACATGTTTAAATTAAACAAAGCAAGGAGTTAAGTCCATGTATTATACTTTCATTATCATCAACCTCAGAATTTCTCCTTCGGGGAGAACCTACTCGTATGGAATTGTAATTCGAAAATTCTAGTACCCTAAAGCTTGAAAACCATCTCGAAATCAGCGTATCGGCCGTTTGATAAATTAAGTTGTTGTGAGCATCGAGGGAATACTATCGTTTAAATGCAGAGGATTGAACGAACGTTTATACGTTACGTTGCCATAAGCAATCGCCGCTGATATCGCCGACGATAAAGATACAGACACGTACGCGAGTTGTCGTTTAAGATGCTGGTAGTTTCACAACGTAGTTCCATAAAGGAAACAGATTAGAGTATGTTTCGCTGACGAGACGCTTCGATAATCTTCCTATCGCGTGTGCTCATCGTTCAATAGCGTTGGACGTTATAATAAACTATTCTGAAATTTCGTAAACAAATCTAAAAATCACCTATTGAATTCGAATATATAAATTTATTTATATTTCAAAAAGCCACGATGAAATAAACTTCAACATTCAACAGAAATATCACCTTTAATATTTACTGCGTGTTCAACAGAATATTTATTTTTTATTAAATTCAATAACAAATATTTTAATAGCATGTTTGTAATAAATATTTTATACATTTTCATCGTTTCAAATTTTATTGGTACAATTATGGTGACAGTTACTGATGAAACACGAACGATAAAAGTTCCTCCATTGTTCAAACATTTTCAAATCGCTGTCGCTGAACATATTGGAAATATTTATTTGAACGATAAAAGTTCCTCCATTTAAATATTTTCAAATCACTGTCGCTGAACATATTGGAAAATATTTATTTAAGACGTATTAATTATTCAGATATTTAGCATTATTTTTAGTATTATTTTAGTATTATTATTTAGTATTATTTTAGTATTATTATTTAGTATTATTATTTTATTATTTTATATTATTTTAGTATTATTATTTTATTATTTTATATTATTTTAGTATTATTATTTTATTATTTTATATTATTTTAATATTATTATTTTATTATTTTATATTATTTTAATATTATTATTTTATTATTTTATATTATTTTAGTATTATTATTATTTTATTTTAGTAAAATAAGTTTATAGTATTATTATTAGTATTAAAGTTTATAGTATTATTATTAGTATTAAAGTTTATAGTATTATTATTTTATTTTATTATTTTATATTATTTTAGTATAATTATTATTATTTTAGTATTATTATTATTTAGTATTATTTTAGCATTATTTTTAGTATTATTTTAGTATTATTTTTAGTATTATTTATTTAAAACGTATTTGAAACATATTAGTTATTCAGGCATCATAGAAATTGCGTGAAACATTCTACTGTATGTACATACATACATACTTTCAAATGTGTAACGAATAAACATTTATTTCAAACAATTACTTCAAGCCATATCCTGAAAAATATATTAGTGAAATACATGATGTGAATACGAGGAGATCAAATCGTAACTCGACAATGTCACTCGCTTTTCTTTCTTTCTGTTGCTGTCAAACCTCTTCAAACTTCCCCTGCCTCACCGTGCGTATCATTTTATTTCACATATACGATTTTCAATTTTTTTCATTCAATCATTCTGCGAAAAATCGATTGTACGGAAATGCGACGTGAAGTTTCACTCGCGAATAAACGATAACTTCAAAGTTACATAACCGACCGTGTGTTTGCATCGGACAGGCGCAAACAGCAGCGTTAATAGAAATAGAGACCGTTTCGAACCGATGATTAGCCGAGTTCTTGCGTTTCATGCCAATGCGCAAGATCCGTTGAAACTTTGCTGGCCGAGTTAATACTGCAGTTGTGTAATTATTCGATGAAGTTGATAACACGTCGACGCACGCAGTTTCGGTTGGTTCGACAAACCAACGTGTGTGTACATAGCTGAACCGTAGCTCTGCATGATTGATAATTACAGGATGGGCCAAAAGTTTCTTTCCACCTATTTTTTTTTCTTTTTTTCAATAAAATATCAAGATATACATAAGAAAAAACTAAATTTTGTTAGCTTTAAATTAAATATAAGTTGAAACATGGTTTCCTTCATTACGTTTTGAAATTAGAAAATATTACGTACGTAGAAGTAATAATAATAATTCGAAATAAGACTAATATAAATAAGGTCTCATTACTTATTAATAATAAAATATAATAATAAAATATATAATAAAATAAATATAGAATAAAACATGTAATAACATAAATATAGAATAAAATATGTAATAAAATAAATATATGATAAAATATGTAATGAAATAAATATATAATAAAATATGTAATAAAATAAATATATAATAAAATATGTAATAAAATAAATATATAATAAAATATATAATCTTCGATTTTAAAATTATATTAATAAATATTCACTGCTAAGAATAATCACAATACGAAAATGTGTAAATTCTTCAAAGATTTTATATCTAAATTTCGTAAGTTTCAAACCAGATATCAGTAGTTTTATATTATTATTATTTAGTAAAAAATTATAGTTACATATCATAGTATACAACATGTCTTAATATTATAATATTGTTAAATGTTTTATAATTATTCCTGGAGATGGTTCTGGCTCAAATTTTTCAGTAGTTTTATATTATTATTATTTATTAAAGAATTATAATTATATATTATAGTATAGTATACTATACTATAGTATTATAATACTATACTAATACTATACTATACTATAGTATTATAGTATAGTATATATTATAGTATAGTATACAACATGTCTTAATACTATAATATTGTTGAATGTTTTATAATTATTCCTGGAGATGGCTCTGGCTCAAGTTTTTTAGTAGTTTTATATTATTATTTATTACAAAATTATAGTTATATATTATAGTATACAATATGTCTTAATACTATAATATTGTTGAATGTTTTATAATTATTCCTGGAGATGGCTGTGTCTCAAGTTTTTCAGTAGTTTTATATTATTATTATTTATTAAAGAATTATAATTATATATTACAGTATACAACATGTCTTAATACTATAATATTGTTGAATGTTTTATAATTATTCCTGGAGATGGCTCTGGCTCAAGTTTTTCAGTAGTTTTATATTATTATTATTTATTAAAGAATTATAATTATATATTATAGTATACAACATGTCTTAATATTATGATATTGTTAAATGTTTTATAATTATTCCTAGAGATGGCTCTGGCTCAAGTTTTTCAGTAGTTTTATATTATTATTATTTATTAAAAAATTATAATTATATATTATAGTATACAACATGTCTTAATACTATAATATTGTTGAATGTTTTATAATTATTCCTGAAGATGGCTCTGGCTCAAGTTTTTTAGTAGTTTTATATTATTATTTATTACAAAATTATAGTTATATATTATAGTATACAATATGTCTTAATATTATGATATTGTTAAATGTTTTATAATTATTCCTGGAGATGGCTCTGGATCAAGTTTTTCAGTAGTTTTATATCATTACTATTTATTAAAAAATTATAATTATATATTATAGTATACAACATGTCTTAATATTATAATACTGTTAAATGTTTTATAATTATTCCTGGAGATGGCTCTGGCTCAAGTTTTTTAACCCTTCAAGTACTTATTATAATTAACAATGAAAAGATTATTAGAAGTTTACACATTATAATATAAATAGTATATTAAATTTTCAGTTTATTATACGTTCTTATTCAGCTTATCGAGCCTCCGAATTTCTGATCATTTCAAGCTAAACTCCGTATCGATAGGAATTGGTTGCTTTTGTTGCAAAATTTAACCAAATCCAAGCAAGTTCTCTCGCTCGAACCTCGAATTCTTTTCGAAACGATGCGAGAATTATTATTATCGGCCCGGAGAAGGGAACGGGAACGAGCAAATTAACGAGCGTATGCATCAACTTATGTGACTTCCCTTTCTCTCTCGCTAGGGAACCACCATCAGCGTGGGTGAGCTTTTCAATTTCAGGTTTCTGTGAAAGCCTCTCTCAATCCGCGATGAAAGAAATCGTCGAAAGAAAGAGAGCGAACGATTGTCGACGAACGTGAAGCAATTAAATACGTTGTAAATCAGGTATATGAAACTCTGAAGGGGGGAGAGCCTCGCGAGTTGAAATGTGAGAGGGGAGTTTTCCTTTTTTACAATTGCGCGTTTTAAATTAAAAAACTGAATGAAAGTGTTGGGGAAAACTGATGAGAACGCGGCGAGATAACGAGCACACCATATGTGGAAACAATATATACGAGGAGGGAAGAAGGGAAACGATGAATAAAAGAAGATATTAACTTTATATACAGCGATAATAATCTAATGGCTTGGATTACAGGTGTTTATGGTAGTTTGTGTGGTATGAAAATTAATTAAGTAGATTGATCATTGATACTGTATAGAGAATTAGAAATAAAAATAAAACGGAATAATTTATATATAATAAATTGAGCTAAATAATTAATTGATTATATACTATTATAATTAGTAGTATTACTTGTATCGCGATAAATATTATAAAATTAATTAATTATTATATTACATTATAAAATTTGATTCCTCTGTTTCGCATTTTTTTGTTACGCGCTGCGTGAACAACTTCATTAACAATTGAAATGATTTAAATATTTTACAATTAGTGTTTTCAATTTTTTCACCAAATCTCGACACGCCAGTTCATTTGACTTCACTTTGTATTTTGTACTAGCAGTGAAGTTCGATTAAATTTCGATATTCTGAAACTTAAATTATCAACGTTTTCTAATTGACAAAGAATTGAAACAAACTTTAATAATTCGATCGAACTTCAACATATCGATATTACGTTTGATTTGACGTTTCTCATATTCGTTTACCACGTTTTTGTGAAAATTTACATTCCCATGGATCGAGGGGAATGAAACCTGAATTAAAAGGGGAGAGAAAGAGAGAAATTGAAAACAATTTCTCGGAGCAAAAGTGATAACGGAATTTATTTCAAAGAGGTGCACACGCATCTTTCAGTTTTTTTTCGTTCTTCTTTAGCGCACGTTACCCCATAACAAAAGGAAAGAATATCAAGACGAACCAAAGAAGATTCAGGAGTACGGGAGGGGGGAACGATAGAAGTTGAAGATAACTAGGTACGTGTCTGGACTCTTCAAATTTTTCCTTCAAATTTTAAATAAGCACTTTGCCACGCCTCGTACGCCCTCGTGTCCAACATTTGCCTTTCGAATGTTCGCACTAAAGAAGAGCGTGACTGTTCTATTCTAAACCCCTGTTGATCCTCGAGGATCCTTTTGAGAATGAGCGATTATGATACCATTCGCGACAAGGCCACTGAACAGAATTTTATTTTACGTTAGCTGTGAAAATTCGTGACGCACTTTTAACCGAGCAGAATTTCGTTTTTACGTTATTTGAAAATTCGCGACGCACTTTTAACTAAGCGAAATTGTATTTCACGTTATTTGAAAATTCGAGAGTTACAACACGATCGACAGAGTTAATTTTCACTAAGCTGATGGGAAAATTATGTTGATTAAAATTCGAAGATTGTTTTGAGCATTGCATATGACTATTTTTCATTTAATTGCATATTATTAATAAATTATGTTTAATTAATTTTTTACTTTAATTAATATTTAATTAATTACTATTAAATTAAATAGTAGCTAATAACAAATATTAATAATAATTAATGTCACTTCGTTATTTAATAAAAATTCTTTATCATTATAAAGAATTATCTTCTCTTGAATTACTATGTAATTATTTATTGTATTAGTATAATAAGTATCACCAATGTTGATAATAATTTAATTTATCTCTGAGTACTATAATATGTATTTCATTGAGGAATTCTTTTGCTTTCTAAGAAAATTACTATGAATGTTGTAAAAATTACTATGAATGTTGTACAGTATTATGAATGTTGGAGATTTTGTCTCATTCTAAAGTGAAAAACTAAATCATTTAATCGACAATCAGAATCAACTGAAATTCTCTTAATGCTACATTTTTCCAACAAAATGATCAACGAAGAGCTAATTATGTTACGCTTGATATCAGCTTGAGTATCAAAAAACTGAGTATCAAAAAAGATTATTATCTTGGACAGCAATTTTAGTCACTATGTTCTAAACGAGATTATAAATTAACAATTATCTTTTGGAAATATCTTGAAAATCTCTTTGCCTTCTTCTCCTTTTTAATTTTTCGTATGATCAAACGACATGTTAAACAATTGTTGATTAAATTCGCTTCGTTGAATTCTACGATTTATTTTCGTTCTGTGGAACGAGCGGATGTTCGAAAATTAGCAACCTGACTACCGATACCCGTAAGATCACCGCCGAGAGAAGTTACGTTGTCGAAAATTGTGCAAGGTACAACGCCAACTCGTTAGTTAATAACCTGCATACTTCATGATAAAACTTCGCGCTGGAGTTAACCAGCGAGAAACTCCCTCTCTGAATGAAAACGGCTGCCTCTTCATTTATTAATTTCCGAGCGTCTGATTAATCAACTATTCTCGTCGACCATTTCGTATGCTTTTAATCGTCTACCCATTCGAGCGCGAATACACCTCTCGCGCAAAGGAGACCTCCGTTCGAAATTTCTGCGAATTATTCGCCTGGCAAGGAGTTTTCAAATATATGGATACTCGAGAGTATCCGAAAAAAGGGAAGGCTCGAGAGCTTTCGCGAATTTAATTGAAATCGCGAATTTAATTTCTGCCCCTCGTGCATTTTGAGCAAACACAATATATGCGCTTTATACCTCGCGAGTTCCAATATTTTTTTAATACCATCGAACACGCGCGTTTGATTGAAAAACCTTGTGTGTATATTGCGGATTATTGAAGATATTAGTTGTCATTGATCAAAGGTAGATATTCCTTGAACAAACAGGCTGCAAGTTTACGGAAACTTTGTTATTCTTTTTTGTCGTAATTACGTGATGGCTTGTGATATTTTGTTATTGATAACGAGACGTACATTTTTGTCAGTCATGTGAATTCATTTGTTTTTACATTGATATATTAACAATTATCAAAATTTATAATTTATAATTTTTTATAATTACTAATTTATAATTCATAAGTTTTTTACAATAATTTTAGCGCACTTACAATGTTGCGTTTTTTTTTTTTTCAGAGATTCGAGCGATTTTTGTAAAGCATATGAACAAAAGTTCGTGTTCATTATCATTCCTTGCACTCTAACTTCTTTAATTCAATTTTTGTAGTTAGTTATTTTTATAGTTTAGTAGTTCGTTAATATATCGTATAATATATTGTAATTTATTGGATATTCGTGTTCAACATATAAAAATTATTAAAAGCAGCAAGATGATTCTTTTGATTTGAAACGAAGATTCAAGCACGTTTTATTATTAATTATTATTAACAAAGTATTTTATATGAAATAATTATATTCAAAATAGAATATTATTATGATATCCGATAAATTTCTTTAGTCATTCAAACAGAATATCTGTTTATTATAATATTTAATAGTAAAACAATGTATTTTAAGTAAGTATTTTAAAGTATTTTAAGTAAGTTTGCAAGTTTCAACAAAATATTAAAAGTAAAACAACTTCTATTTAAATTCTATCTCTTTAATTATTTTTATGTGTTCATAAAAATTTGCAGTCTATGTATTATTATTTTAAAAAAATGTAAACACGAAAATAAAAATACAAAATATAAATATAAATACAAAAATAAAAATACAAAATATAACTATAAATGCGAAAATAAAGATACAAAATGTAACTATAAATAGAGAAATAAAATTACAAAATATAGATACAAATGCAAATATAAAATCTGTTTATTATTCTTCGTAACATTATCAATGTCGAAGTTTAAATTATTTCACTGGTATCGTCACAAACTGTCAATGATCCACAATTTACACACGTTACGTTCTAGACGTTAAGAAAGATAAGATTTACAACACCGTTTCTCCTCCATTTTTATCAATTCGCCGCACCGCAATCTATGCACTTCTAAACTCGATTACTTCATTCTCATTCCTCACATAATAGTCTCTCGAATGTAACAGCATTACCAAAAAGGATTAAACCGAATTGCTTCATCTACAAACTCAATCGCTCCGAGTAGCCATAATCCCACGTACGACCGTTCAACAACTACGTTCACGAAAGGAATCAAAGCGAGAGGGGAAAAATAAAATCAATTGGAAATATATGCTGTAATTTCGTTGTAACTTTCGAGGAGTTAAGTCACCCAGAGTGTGTAATTTTTATTATAATATTATTTTATATTAACAATCATATCATAAATTCATTATATTAAATTATAAATATTCATTATATTAAATGTTATTATATTAAATGAATTATATTAAATATTATTATATATTCATGTAAATTCAATCAAATATCACAATTATTTCTTTCCTATCAAAGAATGAATCAATATGTTAACATATTATTAGGCTTAATTTTTTTTTTTACGCCTAATTCTTTAACTTTGCACGATGAATATTTGCACTAAAATATAATTTACGTATCAAATTATCAGATTTCCAAGAAATCTGGCATTCAATTTTAATTTCAATAAAAAGAAATACGAAAATATAGATAAATATATATGAATATACAAATATATAAAAATATATATTTATATATGAATATATAAATATATAAATATATAAAAATATATATGAATCGCAAGTTAAAAAATATAAATGTGGTGAATAAATTCAATCCGCATTGTGTGAATATTCGTCATGATATTTTTCAATTTTCTGTTTGAATTCTATTTTGTGAAATTTAAAAAAAAAACCAAAGTATCTATAAACTATTATTGTTAAGTTCTTAGTCAAATTATACAATATCGTGTCAGTTCAATGAGTTAGTTTGCCTCTCGGTGATACACACTGCATATAACCATAAACATAAATATTCTCTACAATTCTCTATCATTCGATAACAATAAACAACCAAATTAGACCAAATTTACCTACTATAAATTTCGTACATTTTAAATACAATGTATTTAAATTTATTTTATAAGAAAACTGCATATATAACCATATGTACATACATATAAATAATACGAATAAATATTCTTCACGACTGTATCATTTGATAATAATAAATAAATTCGATTATTTAAATTTACCTACTATGAATTTCGTACATTTTAAATTTAAATACGACGTATTTAAATTTATTTTATAAGAAAATAAATATATATATAGCCGTACATATAAATAATATGAATGAATCTTTCTTCACGATCGCATCATTTGACGACAACAAATAAATCAGATTCGATTTATCTACTTATTTATGAGCTTTCTTTATTTTAAATATGACACTATATAATATAATAATATCTAAATTAATATCTAAATTTAATATACAATAATATCTAAATTTATTTCCAAGGACTATAATATATCTAAATTTATTTCGAAGAAAATGTATATAGCCGTATATATAAACAACACGAATTATAACTGTGAAATTATAATTTTAACATTAATTAATTATTGAAAAAATTTTATAATTTATTATTTTATATTTAAAATTAACTTTATAATTTTATAATTTATTATTTTATACTTAAAAATTAAAATTTAATATATAATATAATATTATACATATAATTATTAAAGAAAAATTTTTTTCAATTATAAATATTAAGATATAATGATTAAATTAGTAATATTATTACATAAAATATATTTAATAATATAAATATATATATATATAAATATAAGGAATTAAGCAAAATAAATATATTCACCTGTTTATCAAAAACATGTCTTGATTGAAAATAATTTTAAGTCAATCTGCCCACCGAATAAATTAAATGGCTGCAGTATAACTGACTGTACAAAGGTAATATAATAAATTGATTTTTAATTGAAATCTAGAAATGAAAGGATTAATGAAGTATATACTGTCTCATATTTATTTTATGGATATTATATCATTCGCCAACAACCAAACAACCAAACTAAGACCAAATTCACTATGAACTTCGTGCATTGTGAATACAGCGTATCTAAATTCATTTTGATGGGAAGGAGGCTGCTGCGTCAATGGGTCGGTTAAATCTCGCGCCAACGCAGTTGAGCAGCAACAAAATGGAGGCGGAAGGAGGGGAAACTTGGCTTCGAAGAAGTAGCTACTGCCGGAGAAAAAGAAGAGGAGAAGCTAAAAAGAACGGAGGAAGATTGGACCACTGGATGTCTGTGTGCGTGGCGTAGGAGAGGCTGGAGAAAAATGAAGCGGGACGAGGAGGGGCGGCAGAGGTCGAATAGATAAAGCTGCGAGGAACTTTTTAACCCTAGCGAAAGTGGGTGGGCTGGAGACTGACTGTACAGGAAGGAACTAAGGGGCAACAGGGTAAGAGGGACGAAGTTGGCCGTAAGTTTAATGCCGCGGCATTAGAAACGTTACCAACCTCGAATCCATTCGGTGAGCTTTTAATGAACTTCGCGCGATCATATTCAACCTCGTTCGCGCGCTGCTTCTGTTTACTTCTGTAGAAGAGGGGAAGTTTTTCAAGATTTGACTGGAGAGTAAAATTCCAATTTGGAAATTCCAATGGCGAATCTCTTTCCGGTCTGTGACAGTATCTACAGTTTCAATCGAACGATTTGATCTTCAAGTATCTCTCTAGTAATCATTTTTTTTTTTTTTTAAATGAATATATGTCATATTTCTTCGTGTACAATTCGTTAATTTAACTAGTGCGATCACGCTATTGTGGCTCGAGTTTGAAGCAAATTTTAAAGTCGGAAGACGTTGGAACAGCGACTGCCTGATCCATCGTTGATCTGCTTCACTTGGGGAAACTGAAATCCTGTTGCTAATGCCTTGTAATCGTGATTAACTGCGACGGACTGTAATATGTTGTGCTGTGTATGTACAGATTTTGAAACAAGTCTAAAGATATATGTGGAAATCACAAGACATTTACAATAGTATATACAACATTGAGGGGACAATGCCTGATCCAATGTTGACTTGTTTCACTTGGAAACCTAAATCCTGTTCCCTAATGCCTAGCAATCATGATTAATCGTTATAGATTGTAATATATTATACTGCACATGCAAGTTTGAATTGAATTTAAGAATACACGTGAAAATTATTCCTAATTATGTTTAATGTTTAATATTTAAATTAAATATTTAAATTTATATTATTTAATTATTTTTATATAATATTTATAAGTTATTTAATATAATATTATTTAACACTGAAAACAGCTAACATCGCTTGAGAACTCTGGCAAAGTTAACCGGTTCATATCTTTGAAGCGGTCGGAACTAAGACGCTGAAATTTTGCTGGATTTAGCGGCCGGAAGTGGAGGAACGAAGGAAGGCAGGGGATGAAACCGAGCTGCCGAGGATATTTGTGTTTCTTAGCGAGGGAAGAAATTTGTCGAGGGTAAGCCGACGACAGAATGTTTCGAGATTAAGACAGATAATGTGCAGTTGAACGTGTTTATGCCAGTATTTGGGGATCAACGCGGCGTGTTACATATCTCGATATTGCAAATTAACATTTTAATAGTGTATGTGTAATCTGACTAACGTCTCATCATCAGTATATATTTATTTCTCTCGTATTTAATTATTTACTTCAATGTAACATATTAATATATTGTATGTGTTTTATTGTTGCATTATAACTTAATAACATTTTATACAATAATATAAAATAAATTATTATATTAATATTGTATATGTTATATTTTATCGTTGCATTATAATTTAATAACATTTTATACAACAATGTAATAATATAAAATAAATTATTATATTAATATTGTATATGTTATATTTTATTTTTGCATTATAATTTAATAACAATATTCTACATGTAACAGTAATAATAATATTTAATAAATTATTATATCAATGTATATCAGTATCTGTTAGTTTGTTGTATCTATATATGTATGTATTTTATTTTTTTATTAAAATTTATCGTTTCTAACTGTATATAAAAATTGTAATTTTTACATTAGAATAATACATTAAACGAAACGAATTAATCTAGAATCATTCATTCATCGAAATTAAAACAAAATTAAGATGATCCACCTTCAGAGGAGCTATTTTCTACTTGTAGAAGTATAATGCTTCTTCTGACCACTGATTTATTAATTGTGTGATAATTTTCAATTTATTTTTCTCCCATTTTGATCGACAAGGAAAGATAGTTTGATCAGAAAAAAAAAAAAAACTGGCAAAGAATATTCTCGTAAAATGCGCGAAACTTTGCTAGAAATTAAATACATTGGCAATATTCTCTTACAAGTTTTTAGTTCGTGCAATTTTCTATCATACGTACGATTAAATCGAGAAACGTAGTTTCGATTAAAAAATTAATAACAAAAGGAAGCCGGGTTTAATGTCTCAAAGGGATCGGTTGAAAGTCCTCTGAAAATACGAGGAACTTCCACGAAGTGGTGAAAGGAGTAATATCAAAGGCAGAAACGACGTCTCTTGATGCTCAAGCACCTCGAGCTATTAAGGATGTCACACGGGAAATTTGAAATAAATTTCAGATCGATGAAAAAATACCAATACGATAATACTCGACGAGCGTTCGTCCCTTTTATTTCTACCTGTTAATCGAAATATCAGAGGCGTTCTCTGTTTAAGATAAATACGAACGATGTATGTGCTTCTGGCAATTTATAGCTGCCGATAAAACGACTTTTCGTCGATAGCGTTTCTGAATAAAGTCGCGCGTTCGCCTTTCGGTTCACATAAATTACCGGTGGTACAAGATAGTTTAGAATTATGGTCGCTGGAATGGCGTAACTTTCACGGAGGAACAAGAAAAATTCTATGATTCTGCGTACAAATGAAAATTGCCCTTTCGAAACGTTGAACTGCTGTAATTGAACAGAGAGTTAGATAATTTCAATGACAAAATATTTCGCAGGTTCACGATATTATTAGTATGCAAAGTTAATTTCTTTTAAATATTGATACTTAATCGACAACTATGTAATTAAAGTGAAACTGTGTCCTAACTGTTGAAATGTCGATGATGAGAATTTTGAAAATTGTATAAATAAAGACTAATTTGTGCTATTCTATTAAATGGCGGAACAAAATTTCCGAAATGGACCGAATAATAAATTTTATTAAAATTGAAGGAATAATTTTATTAAAATGAAATCTTCAAGTTCAGAATAAGACAGTTATCAGAATGAAAAAAGCAACTTGGAAATAGATGATATTTCGTGTACTTTTAATAACTGTATCAGTAAATTAAGAATGTACATAATATTATAATATAATACAATACTATTAAATTATTATTATTATTAAATAATTATATTATTATAAATATTATAAATAATTACATTATTATTATAAATATTATAAACAATTACATTATTATTATAAATATTATTATTATTATTAAATTATGTTAAACACAGTGTTATTAATCATCATTATTATTATTATTATTATTGAAACTCGTTGCGAGTATTTTTAATAATATTTTCTTGAAAAATCTTCAAGTTTCAAACGAAATCTACGTTATTTCTCCTAATTAATTATTCTCGTTCTAAATAATGAACGAAATAAAATTTCGAGCGCGGCAATTCCACTCGTTTTTTTTATCCCGATAAAAGATAGAGGCAGTGGCTCGCTTTTAGAAAGTTCTCGCGAGAGGAACGTAAAAGGGGTAATTTACAGCTGCCCTAAGTGACAACTCTCTCAATGAAAAATAAACCATACCGTTCGGAATGGAGTGAAGTGGGCGGTCGTACGAAATAAATTTGTATCCAGCGTTGGTTCAATGGCAATGCTACCTTCTCCCGATTACACGATCTAAAGTGTGTTCAAGTGCGGCTCGTGATTTACGAGCCACGGCGAAATCTTCCATCGATCTATATCACGGGATGCTGGCTAGTAATCCGGAATGAAATATATACGACTTTAATGTATCATGGAATGATCGAGGAAGAACGCGTGACCCAGCGGAATGATTTTATACGATTGAGATCTATAGATCTTGTCTTTCGCAATGCGACGAAGAGTTTTAGCGAAAACGAAAAAGAAGGTTCAAATTATTTAGAGAAATTATGAAGAAAATTTTTTGTCAATATATGTAATACGTGTAACATACTTTATGTGTATATGTATAGTGCTAATTTACTAATATTAGTACGTTTGTAGTATTAATATACTAATTTTAGTACGTTAGTACAAATATATATTATAATATATACTTGTACTAACGTACAAATATAATATAATATATATTATAATATATACTTGTACAAGTATAATATAATATATATTTGTACCAACAAATATAATATATTATAATATATATTTTAATTTAAAAAAATTAGTATATGTTAGTACGTATACATACATAGCATATATTAATATTTTAATTAAAAAAAAAATCTTTTCCAGTATGCGGTGACTATTATCAATTTACTGTGATATCATTCGACATACTATTGACGTACATCACTGGATACTTTCTCATTATTATGAACAAATGACGAATACAAAATATTATTTTGTATTATTATTTCGCATTCTTTTGAAAAATTATATATCAAAATAGGATATTATTATTGCACAAACTTAAGAATATAATATATGAATATATGTATAGTACAATATATTAATGTTTTATATCAGAGCTGGCTAACTGCCGGAACCCCCTCCATTGCATCGATCTCCCCACTCATGAGAGAGTATGGCAGTGGAGGGGATAGCGCTAGCGATCAGGAAAGTAGGGGCAAGGGCCGCCAGTTAGCCGACTCTGTTTTATATCATTTTTTAAATTTTATATTATATTATACTATATTTATTTATTAAGTATTTAATATGTATCTATTTTATATTATATTACATTCTACAGTATTTTATATTCTATTCTATAGTATAATTACATTATATATTATGTTCTATAGTA